GGGAGAAAACTTCTTTTTTTCTCCAATATTTTGCAAAAATACAAGAGATAATCAGCTTTCAGAGGATGCTTTAACCTCTTTTATTTAGAAAGAAACGTCATTCTAAACATAATCACAGAGGATTAAAAGGTAAGCAAAATATTCAGAAACACAAGAAAGTCCCCTTTTTTCACCATAGCTATTTAGGATCTTCAAAACGGTTCCAGCAGAAAAAGATGAGCTAAGTAATTCACTCAGGTCAGCTGATCATCCGCTTCTTGAAGCTCCTTAACCCAAACAGAAGCTAAGGGGGATTGTGCTTTTTCTGTCTCATCTTCAAAAATGTGGAATGACTTTCCATTGCATTTTAGAGTCTAACTCTCAGTTTGGTTTTAAATCGCGCCTTAAAGCTTATATCTTTGCCTTGTTTTTTGACACCGTATGTGATGTTGATGTTACAGTAGGTCTTTTTTGATGACAGACTTTTGTAGTACCGGTAAGTATTTTAATTTTGATACATGCATTTTCTTATTTTATTGTTTTTATTCAGTCTCCTCAATCTGTACATCCACTTGCCTTTGTTAAGTGTGCAAAACTTTGGTCCTTGGGAAATTTGAAAGTCTTTTATGTGTGACCAACTGTATGTGCTCTCTTTCATCCTCTGACATTGGAGCTGGCTCGGATGTCATGTTCCTGGACCGGGGACACCTGTGGAGCTGGTTTTATCAAGCTCGGACTGGGAACGAGCCCCCCAGTCGCTCACATTGCTTGGTGAGAGGGATTGCTGAAGACTCTGTTAAGTGCCTCGAGATGACATCTGTTTTGAATTGGCGCTATACAGTATAAATAAACTGAATTGAAACTTATAAAGTTGGATTTAATTGAAAAACATACTTTCCGAATAATTATTTCATTTATGACATAAATAAATCTGTCCAAAAAAAAGGTCTTTGATTAAATCCTGATTTAAGGCTTTAGGACTCCAGCAAATCGCAGTGACAGCTATTATCCAAAGAAATAGAAAAAACCTGGATTGTTAATAAAGCTTAACATGAGAGGCTCATGATCCAATATCACTCCAGGAGTAACTAATCCAAGAAGTCAAAAAACAACCCAGAACATCTTCAAGTTGCACAAGCCTCATTTTTATCAGTTAATCTTAATGCTTATGCTCCAGGAATGGAAAAAAGTAAGTGCAAAAACATGCTTAATATAAGACTTTCAGTGAAAACCACTGCTGACCAACACAAACATCTATGTCACAATAAAAGATAAACTGCTATGATCCCCTAGCCTGGGTGCCATTCCGAACTTAGTCCCGCCCACAAGGTTTGAGGTCGGGAAGTTCGGTCTGGCATTGCTCCATAGTAGCTCGAGTATGATCGCCCACCCTCTGGCGATCCAATCAAATTGTCAGGGCGGGCTTTATACGATGATGGACAGATGATCAACAGTAACGTAATAAACCATGTGACCAAAGCGCGCTTGGGTAACAACAACAATAGCTGCCTCCGGAGAGTTGAGGTGAGTAGATTCTGCTATTAGGTCTGTTCTAGGAGATATCAACAGCAAATTAATTTTAAAAGAGGAACAGAGAAACGCGATCAAGTCTCATCTTCTTATTCTAGGAGTGCAACTGCACGCTTTGATTTTTGTTGACAACAACTATGCATCGTTAAACATACGTCACGCACTCCGTTGCTCTTATTGGTTGTAGGTCTATACAATTGAGTGCCGAGGCATTTTTTTTCCTGGTTCGTTCAAAACACGCCCCATAATCACAGCTCTATGGAGCAGTATCAGACTCATATTCTGACAAGTATTGAGTAGGACTATGTCAGGCTAATGATCCCCTAGACTTCAACAAAATATATTTTAACACAGATAGGAATAAAGTTTTTGTAACATTTTTACACTTGCTGTATTCATGTGACCACAATATTTTCTCAAACAAAATTAAGGTTTAGTCAAGTCTAAGTCCAATTACACTACTCACTGACCTTAAATATGGCACTGATTCATGAGTAGCAAAGGCAGGTTGGAATAGCTTTTCCCGTTCATAAATGAAATAATGATCTTGCATTAAGCTAGGTTAATTAAAATTTATTTAATGATGTAAAACAGGGATGATAAGAAAACGTTAAAAAAATACAAATCTATAAGTAAAGGAAAACATTATTTTACAGCACTGAATGTTGGAATGTAAGCAGTTTTTGACAGAATGCAGCAAATCTGGTAGCATTTCCTCAGATATAATTCTTGATTAATTAGTTTTGGATCCGCAGAGCCACAAGTTGAACTAACAGCACAAAAGCTGAAATGAAATTCTCTCATAACCCCTTGAAAATGCAAATTAACTGAAGTAACAAGCAGTTAAAGTTGTAGCAAAACTGATTATCTGCCTGCTTGTCTTAATATTCTTCTGTGCGTTTCTGTGATGCTGTCTGTCTCAGATGAATCATGTTGGCTGACACGGTTTATTTTCATTATCTGGAGGTTATGATGTTTGCAGATGATGTTTAACAGATGATCCATTGTTGCAATAACGACCTCCTTCTGTGTCAGGGGTAGATATTGTTTTTGGAATCTTTCAAACCTAAACCAAATATATATGTGATTAATAGTAATAAGCAAAAGAGAGAGAGGTTTTGAAGTGAGGCAAAAATGATCTGAAGTGCTCAACCATACTGCTATACACCCATTTTGTTTCCTCAGCATAGATCTTTTGCTGTCTCCTCCATAACAGAAAGAAAGCAGTGACCTAATTTCTGTGAGGACAGACAGAAAAATAAACCACTTAGACAAGATAACACAAAAAAAATTATTAAAGCCTTGTCTTTATTTGTTTGAGATAGGTTCAGAAATCAGACACATGCACAATGTGAATACGGACAGGATTTTAAAAGAATGATCCAAGGGAGAAATGTCATTCTCTTACAAAAGTATATGCACCCCTTGAACTTTTTCACATTTTTGATGTTACATAAACTGCTGCGTTGTTGCAAATTGAAAGCACTTAGCACAAGGATGCATGGTCTGCAAAATTGGTACAAATACCAAAGAAAAAAATGTGTGTTTGACTTCAGCTTCATATTCTTTGAAACCCTTAAATAAAATCCAATTCAATTGATTGCATTGCCCAAATAGCCCCCCTGAGTGAGTATTTTGCAGCCACTGCAATTATATAATTAGACATGAATTTATTTTGGGGTTTATCTCAGACAGCAAGTGATTGAGAGACATCCTTCTTTGCAAAATAGCTCAAGTTCAATCAGATTTGCTTCAGAGGATGTTTATTTGTAAGTCTTGCACGCATCATCAGTAGTAATTATTTTGACTGGGACTTTCTATCATTGAAATGCTTTAATCTAAACAATTTCATCATGATTCTGTCTGTGTGTTTAAGGTTGTTCAACTTGAAGGTGAATCTTTGCTCTAGTCTCAAGTCCTGTGTAGCCTCTAACAGCTTTTCTTACAACATTTCTCTGTATATAGCTTATAGGATCTTCCCATCTACTCTCAACTGAACAAATCGACCCTATTGTGCTGAAGTCCACAGGTGACCTAAAAAATGTTCATGACGACTTCTTGTTGTACTTTGTTTTATTTATAACAAAGGAACCATATTTTTCTAAAAGCAAACCTGTAAGGTACAATATTATATTTTTTATTTATATATATAATAAACTTGTTTTTAAATAATTACTGCTAAATATTTCTGACAATTGTGGTTGAAAAGTGTCAAAATGTGAATAAATTAAATGTTTTTGATCACTGATTTCAGACGCTATAAATAAAATACAGGCTATGTACATAAACAGATATAGCTGTAATGATAGGATTTTATTTATTTACACCCAGCCTATCTACAGCTGTAAAACACCTTCAAGCACACGAATAGGCGAAGCTGTCAGCATGTAGCATTAAATGTGACCACTTTCATTTTTTACAGAACAGATTCCTCTGAGGCCTCTTTCACTGCTGCAGTATCATCTGTTTAATCCGTTGGATAATATTTGTAGTTTGAACCATTGGAACACTGAGGGTAATGTGATTCAAACAGGCTGGTCTTCAGCCACCCAAGCAGACTCCCAAACATTGGCTATTGATGGGGGGGGGGGGGGGGGGGGGATAAATGGCAGTTATCTGCAATTATTTGTTTGGCAATCCACTGATTAGTCGTCCTGTCATTTATTAGTGAAGAATTAAACCTGGATTAGGCAAGCATTATGTGCTATTCCATCTTATTAAAATTAAATCTGAAGCATGGCATTTTTTTTGTGTGTGTTGTTTTGTTTTTCTGCAGAACTGTGCCACCCTCTTGTAATTTCCAGTTTTACATCAAGGTCATCAACACCTTCCTCTTGTAAATATAATCAATGGCTTTTCACTCGTGAAGCCGCATGACTGACGTGCGCCGCCGCGCGCCGGGGCCTCTTGGACGCTCATTTCCCCCCAAACAGCCCCGTGATGTTTCTCCTCTATTTGGACTGCGGCTGCAAAAAAAACCTGAGCACGTCCCATCCCGGAGCACTGCAAGCTTCCTGCATTCCCACATCTATAGATACTCGAGTGACAGCCGCAAAATAAAAGAGCCCTTAATAAGAGAAGCTTTGCCATCTATCATGCCAGTACATGTGGTGAGTAATTGCGCCCTGCAGTGAGGCAGATACGCACCAGAATAATAACGGCGAACACAACCGACGCCGACCGGGGCTGTCAATCAATCGCATTGATTAGGATCCGGAGAGGTAATGGAGGGATCATTGTTTATTGCTTCGAGTCACATTGGAGCGACGCCCTTAACGCGGCCGCGCTCCGCCGGACGGAGCGCCGCTGTTTAACACGTTCCCGACCGGGAGCGCAAAAAAACCCATCGCAGGCCACATTCCCATGGGCATCCAAGTCAGCGCTGCCATGGAGCATCTCAGCTCAGATATACACAGGCTGACATGCGGCTTCTCCAAGACGCTCTAAAATCTGCATCGTTTTAGAGGTAATAAAAAGAAGCGGATTCTTACCCGATCACCAGCAGCAGGGATCTGAGCGCAAATATGTACACATCCAGCACTGAGGAGAGATGGTTTTTCTTAACTGGGAACCAGGACGCAAATATATCTTCCCAGTCGGTTGTTTCACTTGCTGATCGCTGTTTGGTCTACGGCTTGCTGCAAATAAAGGGAGCCCGGACAAGCGTTCCCTGCAGGAAGAGATGGGAATAAAGCTATAGCTGCGTGCTTAGGATCCCGATCAGGAAAAAAAAAGGCTATACTCCGTCCAAATGCACTACAAGCCCAGTGGAGAGCCGGAGAGGACAGAGGCGTATCTCCCTCTCTCTCTCTCTCTCTCCCCTCCTCTATCCGTCTGTCTGTATCCCGGTCCTCCCTTCTTCCCTCCCCCGTCTCTCTCCTTATGTTCTTAACTGACTTCAGTTGAAGTCCACAGGCGCAGAGGAGCAGAGGACCGTGGTCAGAGAGAGAGAGAGCAACAGAGAGAGGAGGTATGGGAGGGAGGGGGTCAGAAATGACAAACCAATTTAGGAGCGCGGCGAAAGCTCGGCCGATCGGAGCGCAGCCCCGGCAGGAGGAGCGCTGCTTCACAGGCAGGAGGGGATGGATGGGGTGGGTGGGTTGGAGAGAAGGTGATGATTCCTGCCTGGGGGATGCAGGGAGAGAAAAGAGGGAGAGATGAAGTGGGGTTTGAATGTCTGGTGGAAAACACGGAAAATGGACCCAGCTCCAAAATCTTTGGACGTAGGGCTCCACCTGCCGTGAGGAAAGCGCTCAGGGTGCCTAAAAAAAAAAAAAAAAAGTCTCGGAAGGGGAAGAAGGTGGAAAGCAACAGCTCCAGATTACAGAACACCTCCTTGTTGTTGTTCCTGTGGGCGTTTGGTGTGATATCTTCTCTAGACTGAAGAGACAGACTGTTGACTGATTGAAGCAGATTGGGTCTTATAAATCTAAATGATGGAGAAAAATCAAACATCCTAAAAACCGATTGATCAATACAGCCACAAAAAAAAGGTCTTACCAATCTGATTGGTAGTTATGTGTCCAACCAATAATTTGGTTAAAACAACCAATTTAATATGGTAGTGTTAACTATATTGGTAAAATGGCAAACCGATACAAATAGGTCACTTTAAACAAAATAATGTGTAACAACATTAAAAGCCGAAGCCAAAGGTTGAAGCACCCATTCTGTGATTGCAGGGTAAACTCCTGCTTTACTGTCCCCAGTAGGTCCAATGTTGCACACTACACTTGACTACAGCCAGTCAGATTGATAAACCACCAGTTACCATTTTTATTGGTTGTTTGGTTAATCAGTTATACTGGTTGATCAAAAACCATTCACTTGGTCAGTTCCTGAGCAATATAACCTAAATTGATTCAACCAACTAGAATGATTGTTTTTTTTCAACCAATCCATTCTTAGAGTGCCACTGCAGACTGTACTCTTTCAAAACTCTTGCTAATTTAGTTTTACATTCTGTCTAATTTCTAACACAAATGTTTCCATATTTTTGAGTGAAGCCTTAAAATCGCTTTGCTTTCATTGTTTCTCTAACAAACTAAAACCTAGTGTTTTGTGTAAAACAGTGTTTTTTGTTAAGTATATTGAGCCCCATCCAGCTAACGCATTCTGTTCAGCATCCTCCTCCTTGCTGAAGAATTATTGAACTTTATAATTGAACTTTATTGAACTCACATTGGAGAAATTTACCTCTGCATTTAAACCATCCCCTTGGGGAGCAGTTGGCTGCCATTGTGTGGCGCCCAGGGAGCAGTGTGGGGTTAAGGGTTTTGCTCAGGAACCCAGAGTGGAGGCTGTGGCGATCGAACCGGCCAACCTTCTCTTCTCAGAGCACAGCCACAATGCCCAATACTCCCCACTGTATTTTATTTTTTCCAGAAAAATCACTTTGCATGTACAGTAGGTTCAGAAATTTCTTCTCACTTTTTCAACCCACTTGTGTTATAATCAACCTGACAGCACTCAGATCCTGCAAAACGACCCCCAAGTCAGAGGTTGTCTGAATTTTTAGATTCTTTCTAGATACTTAAATGCTTTTTGAGGTACAACACACAATGAATATTAGCAATGGTGGAACACCATGTTGCTGGCCTTTAGCTTTGAATTTTGTCTGTGAGAAATCTCCAAAGTCATTGCACGAATTGTTAGAGTGCTAGAGAGTTCATATGAGAGCTTAAGTCGATGATGACTGTGGCAAATACATTTCAGTCATTATGAGGGGAGCCTGCGGTTGCAACACAATTTTTTCTTAATTACCAACCATTTATGTATATATTAAACTCACATGTTTCTGCTAATTACCTATACCATTTAAATGTAATAACATTATTATTTTAGAATAGTTATATAAAAAAAAAATTGCTGCAACCGACTCCATCCCTGGTTGTAACATGAAACCGTTCAATTTCATAAATTAACTTTTGGGTTTTTTGGCCTCAATAAGGTTAATTTTGTGAGGATTTGTATCATTTAAAAAACTTAACCACTTAAGGAGTCATTTTGTAAGTTTTTAGTAAAACATATCTTAAAAATAATCAATTTGTTTGACCCTTTACTACCAAAACATCATTTGATGAGCAGACTGACACCTCAGAAGTTCAGCGCCGATGCATCAATAAGCATGTAGCCTATTGTCCTGTATGTACTTCGGGTCGGACGTTTCCGTGCTGTTTTGTTGATGTGATGTCAAGAGCATCCACATTGAATGGATCCAACCTAGCAAACAATAGAAATGTTATTTTTCAGGATGCATTTCATGGATATTCAGAAGTGACTGGCATCCACCTCAACTCACCAATGGTAGTTCCATGTAAGGTAAAAAAAAAAAAAAAAAAAAGGTATTAGATAAATTACTTAGCAGTTTAGCAGAACCACAGCCAGAAGATCTTCCACGATACCAGCAACACCAGGAGGATGTGGCAACGCATATGGACGATCACAGACTACAACACACCCTCCCGCCAGTGGGTGGAGCTGATGGTGACTTCCTAAATTGACTAAACAACTCCTTTGGAAGGTTTGAAGCGTTAAACAGCACTCCAGCAGTGAAAGCTGTTCCACATCAGGGTGAGGAGGGCCTCTACCTTAAAGGGGTCATAGAATGCAAAACTGAGTTTACATTGTCATAGATGATTAATGATAGTTCAGTGGGAAAAATGGACATACAGAGAAGTTCAAACCCAATCGACGCCTAATTTCTCTGCAAATTTCAAAATTCTAAACTTCCACCATAAAACTGGCACAAACGTTTAGCTGTTTACTCTACGGTAGGGTTTACTTCTACAAGAATTGCAAAGCAGGCAGTTTCTCTATTGAAAATGAGCCAGAACCACAGGCGTAAATGCAGTGTTCCAGGCTGCATGGAGAAAGGGGAAAATTTTCAAAGTCTTTACAGGCGTGGATTATTATTGTCTATGAGAAGATCCCTGCAAAGTTTGATGCTCAGTTCTTAATTTTACAGAAGACAGCTTTCAAAATCTTGGACAGTTCAAAGCAGGATTAACTAAAGTTCTTTCACTGAAACAAGGGGCTGATCGGTCTGTTTTCCAGTGTAGTCCTGTTTCTCTGACTGTGACTGGCTGGAAGTGCTCTCTTCATCCTCTTACATGGGAGCTGGCTCGGAGCTCGTCTTCCTGGCTGTGTGTTTCCTAGACGGGGCCGCCTTTTACAGCTGCTTTTTGTATCTCTGCTTCTGTCTCCTTGAACCCCAGTCGGCCTCGGCAGATGGCCGCTCATACTGAGCCTGGTTCTGCTGGAAGTTACTTCCTGTTAAAAGGGAGTTTTTCCTCTCCACTGTCGCTACAAGCATGCTTAGTGTGAGGGATTGCATTTGAGTCAATGAGTCGATGCAATCAACTGGTTTTCCTCAGATAGAAAACTTTGAACCAATTTGACTGTATGATCTGGTTAAACTGTAAAATGCCTTGAGATGACATGTGTTGTGAATTGGCGCTATAGAAATAAACTGAATTGAATTGAATAATCTAGGGTAACCGGATTTGGGTTTCTGAAGAGGAGGACATTTTGTTTGTTGGAGGGGAGGCTGGTGGGCCACTGACTGGACCGGACTTGGCATTCAAACCGAGCCATCAGCTCCGGGGCTGGTCCGGGGTCCGGAGCCAGCAGGGGACAGAGCCACCGTGACGGTATGCTTCCCCCCGCCTGCCTTACTGGGTGGGGGGAAGCACGGGGCCGCGGCTACCGTCACCGGGTCGGGTTCGGTCGCTCAGTCCCCCGCTGGCTTACTCCCCCCGTCTGCCGGAGTTCCTGGACCAGCCCCGTAGGTCATGGCTCGGTTCTGCTGCACTGTAGTCGAGCAAAATCCCGGACGATTTTGAAATTCTGCCGGACATTTTTTTAGGTATGAAAAGTAGGACAAGTCCGGGAAAAGGAGGACATCTGGTCACCTTATCATATAAACAACTTGATGTTTCAGTGAGTGAGTGCTTGTTGTTATGATGCGTCTTTGCTCAGCAGTTTCGCTCGTTGTAAACCAACCAATCAGCACACAGCTCATCTAAATATTAATGAGCATACCATAAAAGGAAGAAAACCTGTGGTTTCATTCTGGGGCTCTTAACCAGGCTTGCATTAGGGCTCATAGAACAGCAAATATGCCATTTTCAGGCCAACCAATGTTAGGCACCCTATTCAGAGACCTTAAGGACCAGCACCAAATACCCTATATAATCATTCTATGAGCCCTTTACCATAGCTGAGGACACCATCTTCTCTGCTCTTCACCTGAGCCTGGCACACTTGGAGGAGAAGAACAAGCACATGGGGATGCTGTCCCTGACATTAGTTCAGCTTTCAACACCATCATCCCACAGCATCTGATAGGAAAACTGGAACAACTGGGCTTCAATACACCCCCCTGCAATTGGCTGCTAGACTTCCTCACAAACAGACCTCAGTCAGTCCGAGTTGGACAGAACACCTCCAATGTCATCACCCTAAGCACAGGCTCCCCTCGGGGCTGCATCCTGAGCCCCCTGCTGTTCCCCGTGATGACACATGACTGTGCCCACAGGTTCAACACCAATTACATCTGGAAGTTTGCAGACGGCACCACGGTGGTGGGCCTTATCAGAGACGACAACCACCAGGACTACAGAGAGAAAGTGGAGCAGCTGGGGGACTTGTGCCGAGATAACAGCAGGAGGCTGCAGCACCTCAGACTCTAAGAACTTGAGAAGTGGTAAAAACAGCAGAGACGATCATCTGGGCTCCTCTTCCCTCCATAAAAGACATTTCATCCCAGCGCTGCATGTCCAGAGCCCGTAACATCATCAGCGACCCCTCACACCCCCACCATGGACTGTTCTCCCTGTTGCCCTCTGGGAAGAGGCTTCCAGCATTAGATGCAGGACCAGAAAGTTCTTTAACAGCTTTTTCATGACTGTTAAAACTAATCAAGTCACAAATCAAGACTCTGCATCGCACAAATAACATTAAATTTGCACTACTGCATTTTGCACTGCTCTGAATCTTACACATCAAGGCCTTTTAGTCCATGTCTCTCCTACACTCTTTACATTTTTGATCACTGCTGCACTTTATAAATGGAAATGGTCATTTTTACTTCTAAGCTGCTGCTCGTTCACAGTCAGAAAGCTGTATGTAAATAAATTTCATTTTGTATACACTCTGCATATACAAAGCTATGAGAACCAGCAGAAGAATGCTGCACTTCTGTGTTTTGGCCACAGGTGACAGTATCATAAGAAAACTCCATAATGCCTCTTTAAATGGAATTTGGGGTTCTATGAAAAGAGCACACAGAAATATGAAATGAGAATTGAATAATGACATTTTGAATTTTTTTAAATGAGTTCTTAAATCCCACATTAAAAAAGCAATAGAACTTATTAAATATTAATTTCAAAAGATCAGAGGAAAAAAAAAAAAAAAACTTTTTTTAGGAGCGCATAGCTTCTATATATTTATTAAACTTCCTCATATAGTTTTAATAGACATTCAAATTACAATAATAGTGTTGAAACCATCTACCTGGATCACCAGTCAGATGAACAATTGTGGCATATGTACAAAAAAAAAGAAAAGAAAATCACCTCCAACTGTGCAAACTTTCTGTGCCCACTTTCCTGAATTTATAGTAGCTTTGTACCTTGGGGATGGTTGTGACACTTGTTCCAACCTTCCCTAAGCTGTCAGATAAGATAGATCCCCATGTGAAAGCTAGACACACTAAAAATGTAACTTCAAAATTAACTACATATTCATTCAATCTAGTTATATTATAATAAATTCATACAACCAGTCAAGACAGTAAGAAAAAAATACATGAAAAAAATACTTTGAGGCCTTGAAAAAGGAGTTTTTGCAGCCGTCCCTTGTTGCAGCTTTCACCTACTGTATTTAATAATGGTGTCAGAGAAATATGTCCACTTTGCATAAAAACTTTCCCTGAAATGTTAACAGACTACAACTAGTACCATTAGCAAGAACCTACAAGGGGGAAAAGGGTGTGAATAGAAGACATTTAAGATTTGCTCTAGAAATAAAAAGGAATTTATAGTTCACGGTTGAAGCAAACCTAATTGAATAAACAAAGGGTCTGCCTGAAAAGGTCATAAGCATGAAAAAGCCCAGACTATAAATAACCTAAAGCCTTTCAGTGATAATTGACCTATAATGAATAAATGAATACATTAGTAAATACATAAATAAATAAATCAGGTATCTAGGTTAATTTGTGTTGTATAGTGATTGCAGTCATCACATTAAAAAACTGTATAGTTAGTGTTTCTGATATCTAAATGTTGGCTTTATGTTTTGTGGACAATTTTAATCAGACACAAAATCAAAAAAAATCAGGCAGTTTTTTTGGATTAGAGTGAAATTAGAACCTCATTAGTTTTTAAGCATATCCCCATTTTAACTCATACAATAACCTAGACTTCATTGAACGTTTTCCACAGACCAAGTAAAAAAATATAATGGTAAAATTATGTTTTGGTGTTTATTAGATTACACCTTTTAATGCAAAATTAATTTGTTCCTCCATAAAAGTCTTTCTGCAGATTATGAGCTTGATGTACTTATTTATTTCTTTATATCTGACCATGTTTAAGCCAAACTATAACTTAAAATTGTTTGTGTTAATCAGGTATTTTAAGTTTATAACCAAGGTTATTGGCTATTCTTTTCAGGATGCTCTATAACCCAACCCTGGTTCAATTCAAATTCAGTTCCATTCTTTTCAAATGGAATATGGTGTGATCTCAAAAACCATATATGTGCCTTGTTCTTCAGTCTTTTGTTTAACAGCCGGACTGTACGTCCATCTGAACAGCTCTTACTCAGAGCTTAGTCCCTCCCTGTCCATAAAATGCCACCAGAGAGCAGCGTAGAGGGGAAATGGGCGCGAGTGTGTCCAAGTTCTTTTGCCAACAGCATTATTAAATTATAAGCTTCCTACTTATTTCCAATACATCTTCCTGCAAAACACAATGCTGATTTGCTGTATCTTTTGTAAATGTGCACCTTCAAGGCAATGAGTATAAAAAAAGAGGGTGGCAAAACCAGTTTCAGTGGCAGCCCTCTTCCGAAATTTACAGAGCTGTCTCTCTAAACAAAACTAACAGGGCAAATGAGCAAACTATAAAAAAAAACATTTTCTTTCCAATTTAGTGACTCTGGTTTAGAGCATGCAGTAAGTATGTGGACTTAATCAGGGTTAATAAAATACATCTGATTAGGCTCATTCATGTAATGTTTTACATTGAAATGCATGAAAAACACAAACGGTTAAATCAACAGCATAGAAGTTAGAGAGCTTTGCTAAATTAATCACATATGCATCTCAGTAAAGAATAATATAATCAGAAAAAGTAAAGCGTTTCAATACACTGATCAAAATCTTAAATTTTCAATTTCGGTTGATTATCATAATTATCCCTTAAAACAATTAAAAGCCCAAATTGTATTTTCTCAAAGAATAAAATTTGAATATAAAACAAGAAAAGAAAGTGGTGAAAACTAGTAATTGAACAGGGCCTCAGAAGGAAGCAATAGAAGAATCCAGCAGTGAGTTATGAAAACCAAGGTGTTTACATGCTGATGAAGGTGTGGACAAATGCACACGCTGCAGGTGGGAGCATTTAGGTGAAATGTAGAAACAGCTGATACAAGAGCTAGATTGATGAACTGAGGGAGGAAAGCTAATTAGCTAAATCGAGAACCTATAGAAAAAATCTCACAGAGGTCATGCTAAAAGAGCAAGAGAGACGTCTAAGAAATAATTCCCAAGAGATAAAAAAAATAAGTATTTAAACAACCAAAAGACCTAAACAAGAAGCAATTGAAAGAAAAAAAAAGACACACAATAAATCAAACATTCAAGTTTAATAACAGCTTTAGCTTAAGCTGTTTTTTTAAGGAGGTTAGGATTATTCAAAACTGTTTAAGGTAACAATGTATCAATCAGGAGATGAGTAAAAGCACATTTTCAATGCATGCCACACTGAAGAGAAGTCTTCAAAAGTAGAAGAGTTAATGAACAGTAACATTAACAGGAATCATAAAGACATACGATCATCTAGGGTACAGATAATGTGGTAAACGCTGTTTGAAGAAAGAGCATTGGATGCTGCACCTCTCCAACCAGATGCTGCAAAAGTGTGTCTGTTCATAGAAATCAATAGAAAGATGAGACTGAAAGTTTCCATTCAGGAATTTCCTACCAGACTGCACTAAATCACACATAAACACTAATAGAATAACTTTAAGATGGTAGTGAAAAATATATATCTTCTTAATTTCATGGGGTGTGGGGCTTTTTGGATAACATTTATTAGAAACTTGGATACTTAGTTAAGATTTTGATTCTATTTTCCTTATTTATTTTGATATACCTGTATTAAAGTTGGAATGGTAAAGATAACTATTAGAGGAGCATTTTGCTCTGGGCCCCAAGCAATTTAAGAGCACCCATATCAGTTCATGGATCAATATAGCAATCATTTGCCTGCTTGCTTGTTGTTTTTTTTTTTTTTTTTTTTTTTTTTTTTTTTTTGTGGGTTTGTTTTGTTTTGTTTTTACATTATTTTTTCCTCAGGTATTTGAGGTTGTATTTTTAGCTACAGAAGCTGAATGTTAGTAACACAGTTTATCTAGGTTAATGGAGAAAAAAAAAACAACAAAAGCAAAATAAAAGTAGAAAAAAAAGGTATATCTATTGAGATGTTTCACAGATTGGTGGACTGTTCTGTCTTATCAACCCGCGGGGGAAGAGCTCTTTGTGCTCAGAGATCAGAAGCGGGGGACATGCGCACTGCATGAGACGCTCCTTCTCAACCTATAACGCCTCCGGGAAATAAAATGCTCATCTCTCCTTTCATTGGCACCTTGGCAGCTTATCGAGTCGTTTTTATAACTTGACCCATTGGCAAAAACTCGTTCGGTTTCCTGTAAATGTCAATCGGTACCATCTGAGGGAGGAAGGTGGAGGAGATTCACCCAGAGACCTGTTGATCGTCTGCTTGCGCTGCGATGGAGGTGAGACTGCTGCTTCTCCTGTCCGTGGTTGCCATAGCAATGGAGCTAAGCGGGGTTTGTTTACACAAACATATTGACTATCAAATTAACAGAAATTAGTTCGCCGAAATGTTCCCGTTAGCTGCATAAACCAATAATCTCTCTTTTTACAGAGCAATAAAGTGTATGATTTTAATAGGAACTCTAAGATCTGCTGTGAGAGATAAACAGTCTTTATACATCCGATGTCCGTCATTGGATCCTAATTATATCAGAGGAGCTCGTTTCCATGCGTCGTTTTTCTAAATCAAATCATGTTACTTGTGTTAGGCTTTGAATTCCCCCCCATCCTAAGTCAGATGGGTCGGGAGGCCATGTGTCGAAGTTAATTATCATCAGCTGCGGATAAAGCCTTTTGGGGCAGATTTAAATCCCGCTAAAGAGCATTAGGTGACAAGCAAGGCGCTTGGAAACAAACATGGCACAGGCCCTGGAGGGAGAGGATATACAGGGAAAATGATACAAGCTGATGAACAGATGTCAAATAATTATGTCTTACTAATTATTTGCATGGAAATGGAGAGGAGCTATTAAAAAAATATATTGCTTTCAACAAATTGTCCCTCAGATGAAGTAAAGCATTTTAAATGTGCAATCAAAATCTTTAAAAATGTTCAAAACATCTTTATTTTTGTTGACTTTCTGTGTTTTAGGAGATGGGCAGAAGACTATGATATCAACCTGAGGAAGGAACATCAGAAGAACTCTCTCAGGCAATAATGGAGATCATTGGTGAGTATACTCAGTGACCTTTGAGATGCAGGGATTTATCTGAATCCCCTCAAATGTGTTGCATTAAACTCCTGAGGTTTACAATAAGGATATAAGACATGGCTGCTTTACCCAGTCAGAATGGAGTAGTTACATGAGCAGGTGGCGCTGGCCTCACACTCCTGTCAAAAGTTTGCAGGGAAGACTTTACAGGGTTTTAACCCTCTGCCACAAACAATTAGCAGAGTTGGGGCTTGTGCTCATTAGTCCCGACTCTGCTAAAAGAGCAAGGACAACATGACCTGATGCAAAGGGAAGTCTTTTGCTTTTGTTCTGCAGCGTGGCAGACAGCCTAGTGTTTCCTACTTTAATATTAACCTCTCATAAACAGTAGATGGCCTTGATATTAAATAGAGAATATATATTTAAAAGATAACACAGAAAACTAGAACATTATTTAAGAAATAATTGACCAATGATATTTTGGAAATGTAAAAAAAATAATAAGCAAGTCAATGGATAATGATTCTATTGGGATTAAAGGCTACAACTAACCTCGCAGTTTCTTTTGTAATTAGGAGGCTAACTGGCAGCCAGGTCTGGCTTACCAAACTCATTTAATTAACTCAGTCTGCAGTTGTCTTTGGATTATCCAGCAGTTTGATAAAACAGTGGAAGGGAAGAAAGACATCAGCGATGCTATAACAGCATCTGTCATGGTCCTCAACTGTCTAGATAGTTTTAGGGTTTATTTCTAAAATATTTAAAGTCTAAACATATTTGTATATTGAGAAACATCAAAATATATTCAGTATGCGCTACTTTTATCAGAATTGAAGTAAAATAGAAGAGTGTACAGGCATTAAGCAGCAAGTAAAAACACTAGAAAAATACTGGACATGGTTTGATTTATGTTGCACTGAGACTTTAGAAGGAAATTGGAAAAAAAAGTTTTCTGGGCTTTATAAATGTAAAGGTTTCAAGTAGTTTTTACAAGTAGTCTTTGATAGCTCTTTAATACATCTTTTGTACAGTAGTGTGTAGCTTAAAAACCCTTACTATGCAACCAAATTCCAACTTTACTTCTGAGATATTAATCTCAGTCATGAACAGTCAACCTATTCTCATTATGAGTGCGTATGAAATCGTATGAAAAGTTATGCACAGTAATTTCGTACGTTTGGACGTTTTTTTCGTCTTATGCGCATGCACATCTGAAGCACCATTCACGAATATAGAATATAAATTACAATTAGCCCTAGCCCTGACCCTAACCCTAAGATATAAAACAGCAAGCAACGTAGTTAGAGATATGAATAGGTGATGATTGCACTGTTTTTCCCATTTTTACGTCCATCCACGGATCTGCTTTTTTTTTCTGTCTGCCAGCGCATGCGCACTGATGTGGTTTTTTTGAGGGAAAACGTCCAAAACGTACAAAATAGTGTGCATAACTTTTCGTACGATTTCATACGCACTGATAATGAGAATATGTTGGAACAGTTGACTTATTTTAGTATATTTTCTATTTCAGAAAACTGTAGTACAGAGGAGATAAGCAGAACTTGCAAGAATTATTCTATATATAAAAAAAAATCATTTTGAATTCTAAGTTTCAACATAAACTGTAATATTAGTTTTAGACCAAACAAATTACCCAAACTTAAAAAAAAAAAAAAACTCAATGCCCTAAATGTTTGATAATTTTATACAAAGAAGATATCATAGTTTAATTGATATTTACAACTAAATTATTTGAATTATTATGTCAGGAGTCACCTTTAAGATGCTAATCAAATATTATGATAAGGTGTTTTAGGTTCTTCTTGCTGAGTTTTCTTTCTTCAAACTATCCTCATCTGGCTTTACAATGCATGGCATTTTCAAAATGTGCAAACTCTACATAAAATTGGAATGATTTAAATTTTTTCAATTCAATAATTGTAATTGAATCGTAATAGCAATATACAATGTAAGGCAATGTGAGAAAAATATGCATTTCTTTAGAAAATGTTTCTAAAGGTGTAAGTTTATACTAAAAGCCAAAACATCTATGTACTGTTTGAAGAGAGGCATTGAGAGCAGACTGTAGCTGCTTCCAAATGTTTGGCTTGTTGTGTTAAAAAAGTTGATCTGAGACTTTTAAAATAAGAGTTCAGCAAATAGATATGAGACTGTAAAGGCTGGAAATATAGATGAACCGACACTTGCACAGATTATACATCTTTTGGCATGAGTTGGTAATTGGAAATTATGCTTCCACTGCAATTATTTTAAACTATCCACGTATCCAATAGAAATAAGACATTTTTATTTGAATTACAAAAGAAAACAGCACATTATGATCGATGAAAAACTTTTTTTGAACTAGGTGAGTTGATGATCTGGGCTTCTTCTACAGTCACAGTCTAAACAAATGGCTATCAGTGCTTTGTTTTTGCACTTGCTGACTATCATCACAACAAACAGCCTTTTTCAGAAGGAAGCCATTTCCATGTTGTAAATCATATACAGACCAAAAGAGATGGATCAGTTACACAGTTATCTAATTAGGACATCATCATTCCAAGAGCTTTGAGTTACTCAATCCACCTCTGCCTTCACACATGCTCACCAAGTCATCTTTGAGAAGCCTCCGCTGTCAACTGAGATGTATTGAGGATTAGCAGTATTAAGATGGAACAAGATTTAGAAAATGTACAGTTTTAAGAATCACTTTTCCTTTGTGCCATAATATACCTTTTTCCCCCTCTAATGTAATCCTACATTTTGAAGTTGTTTTAAAGCAATGCAATAGAAACCCAGCTGGAGCACAGGTGCATTTTGGATTCCCTAACCCAATGGTTCCTAAATGTTTCTTGCCAACTACCCCCTTTGTTTTACAATAAGTTAACCTGCTCAACCATTGACCTTTTTGAAACAAGAAAAGTTAAATAGAGTAAGTTACATATCAAAATTAAATAAACTATGATACCCTTTAAATCACAAATCTACCATCTTTATAGAAAGCTGTTCGACAGTGTGCATCACGATGTTTTGCAGCAAGGTCTAAAAAAGGTATTTCTGTATAGAGTGTCTATATTTTCTCTATGTACCCATGGGTTCTCTGTGGGTGCTCAGTCCAAAAACATGGTGTATATAAATTTTCCTTAAAGGTATAGTGGAGGATGTTCTTTGTCCGGATGGATAATCAAAATAAGTCCTCCTAATTGTCAGGCCATCCTACGTGCTCATCCCTATTTTCACTTCTGGTGAAGAATCTCACATAGTGGAGAAACAGCAAATCTCCTTTTGGAAAATAAGCCTGTATGAGCGATGCAAACAGTAACTTTTAAACACAGCGTTCACAAGGAGAAATGGTCTTGTGCACACTCTCACTGCATGTGCATTTATTTTAAACGGTGAGAGGGCAGGTCTTTTCAACATTTCACAAAAATCCTCCATTATACCTTTAAGTCTACGTAAGGGTAAACATGTTGACATGTTCTGTGTTATTAATGATGGACTGGTGACCTGTCCAAGGTGTACCAATCAGCTGCTTCCAGCCCAACTCCACCCAGATGCACAAGTATGAGACCATTTTTATTTTACAGTGTAACAAAATTCAAAATCTCTATCAACACACATACCAAATACCTCTCTAAATAGATGATTTATATAATTTATATCTCAGCAGCTCCACGTCAGATGCTGATTTCAATGAAGCCAACAAGTCTTTGGGAAACCAGAGACTTGTTGTCAAGGGTCATACATATAGCACTTCATCTTTCTGAGAGCTGGAGCAGAGCTGATGTTTTGTCATGCCGCTCATAAACAAGATAGTAGATATAAAGGGGGAAGAAAATGTTTTGCCACAGGGAAGTTAAAGTCCAAACTTTAATCTGAGATAGATACTATACCAAAGAGCTTTGCAGTGACAAATAACACTTTTACAAGAAAATCTCATTTAAAAAGAAGATGTCTATTATGAACTACTGGTATCCTAATATAAACTCATTTTTCATAATCTGAATTATTATGACATCCTAACTAAAAGATGAAGTAAATGTATCTCAATATAACTCATTTAGACTCAGAGACTTAGTCTTAACTTTATTCATACCTTGGGATTACTCCTTAAGAGAAATTCTGGTTCCAGTAGCCCATATAGAGTACAAACAGTTAAAGCAAGATGCCATTAAAGATCAAAATACAACAGACAATATAAATGGATTGTATAAAGTACAAAAAAGCATTAAAAAAGTCCTGGAATATGTTTCCTTTACATATAAAAATACCTGCTCAATAGAGAGCTAAGGAAAGGCTACACACTTGGATTATTGCACTGCAGAACTCGTTTAGATTCAATTTAACTAATTAAGAAACTGAAAAACTTAAAGCTATTTCCTGGTGTTTCTGAATGATCATTTAGATTCGTGAGGTTAATGAGAACTATGTTCTTACTCTTAAAGTTGTCTTGCTGTTGTTTTGTAACCTGGTGAAACTAGACTCTCTAATCCTGGCCTTGAAAATCCATTTTTGTTTCAGATGCTCAGTGTGCTTTGGAAGCTGTTGAAAGATTGCAAGCCAAACTGAAGGAGCGAGGGGAGGCTCCCACTCAGGAGAAACTGTCTGTGCTGAAGACTGTCCTGCAAAGCCCTCTCTTCCTGCACATACTCAGTTTGCAGAAAACTGAGCCAAAGCCCTCAGTGAAGGTATAGCACAAGCCTCAGTGTGTGGGTTTTTGTTTTATATTAAATGGTAGGGGAAAGAGGTAGATAAAATACTGAATTCAGGAAGCAAACTAGATGAGTAATCAGCTTACCTAAGCTTTACCCCTAAAGCTGTGTTAGAGTGTGGGAGGGATCGATGGTGCTTGTCATGATCACAAATTGGCAGAAAGTGTCTGTATTACTGTCATAAGCTATTATCTAATGTGTCATGTGTGTTTTGCAGGTGTCACTAAAGCATGATATAGAATAAAATCACCATCTGTATTTGCTAAGTCAGCTGCCCTATGCTTTTTGGTTTCCATTGTGTCTCCAAAGTTCTCCTGCTGAACATTTTCAAACTTTATGTTGTTTGTTAATGTTAAAACTTTAGGTTACACTTTTCATATATGTGATACTTAAAGAACATAGAAATGGAAATATTCTGTAAACGTACATAATTCAAAAATGACAAATTTAAAAAACATTTTGTAAGAAACACACTCCCCACATCACTTAAAAAAGTATATTAGTAAACATTTTATTTTTAGGTAGGTTTTTTTTTATTTCGATCTAAAGAATATTCATCAACTGATTGGATTTGTCAGTCTAATCTTACTTATGACAGCAGGGAAGCTAGAGCCTCTAAGGCTATGTAAATGTACTGATCTGCATTCTACTGAGGGACACATTTTTCCTGTTGTCTTAAAGTCTAAATAGGCATAGGTCAGTTACAGATTCTTATGGCATGGTAAAGTTAAGTCATAATACCCTGGTTTCAAAATACAGACGGTAAACAATGATTGTTTATTTACAGTAAATACATTAAAATTATAAATATTGTTAAAAAAGTACAACTATATTGCAGCTATAATATTGTTTTCTGTGTTTGCATAACGAGCCCCTAAATGCCCAGTTGTCAAGTGTTTTAATCAGTAGTTCTTGAAAAAGAAAGAAAAGGCAAAGAAAAAAGAAAAGGCAGCTCTAACTTAAATTGATTGCTTCAATTGGTAACAAGTAATTGAATCAGTTGGATCTTACTTAATACATTTAATTTATACATTAAAAACTTAACATAAGTTGGGGAAACTTAATTCAATTACTTGTTACCTATTGAAGCCATTGAATTACATTGGAGCACTTTTTCTTAAGAGTGATAACCGCTCCTCACCCTACATAAAATTCCATCCATCCATCCATCCATCCATCCATCCATCCATCCATCCATCCATCCATCCATCCATCCATCCATCCATCCATCCATCCATCCATTACATCCAAGTAGTATGCAGTTCTTCATACACACACACACATCATTTTCAAACAGATGGTATCGTATCGGCCGATACTGCACAGCCAGGTATCGTATCAGGGCCAAAAAATGGCATTGGCGCAACACTAGTATGAACACGAAGCAAGTCACAAAGAGAAAGCCCTGGTTAGGCTGCGGGCATTACCCTGCACTTGACTTAACAGACATGCCAACCTTAGCTTGCACTGCTCTAAAAGGATAGGGGGTAATTATTCAGATTACACAGTGTACCTTTTAGTGTGTTTTGCCTAACTTAAACATTTTTTAAAAAGCTAAGTCAGTCTTTGTTTCGGTGTTGGACAGTGAAGCTCTGTGCAACGCAACTGGTGGGGAAGGGGCAGAATTGTGTTGTGAAGTTTTCTCTGTTTTGAAACAGGAAGAGTTTAAAACATTGGTCTGTGCACCAGTCTGTGCATTGGCCTGATTTGCTGAATCCATTTTGGCCCATTTTAAACTTATTTATAAGGTCTATAACACTCACCACTGTAGCTGTGTTAAACACCTTTTCTTCAAATAATTGAAATATTTAACATTAAATGCATATAGACATTCTAGATACCTTAAATTCCAGAAGTGTACAAGGCAGAACATATTAAAGGCCTCAACTGGATGAATGACAGGTTAAAGCTCCTAATGAACAGGATACTGATCAAGGGCTCTCAAATAAGTCACCTTTGAATAGTGCAAATACATCTCAAAGAATCTGGACTGTTGTAGTCGATGTCCAACCTTAATTCAAATGAGGGGGTGTAGCAGGATAAAAAAAAAAAATCCACTATTGCTAAACTAAGACTGTTCTGCAAAGAGTAGTTGGCTAAAGATCATCAACAGTGGTGTAAACATCTTTTTCCCAGTTAAATATTTAATAGCCCCTACAGGTACAAGTGTGGCACAACCATGTTTTGGGCTGAGGGTACAATAGTGTTAGGTTGTTTTGGACATTCTGCTTTTTTTTCTCTTGATACATAACAAATTGTATTTATAAATTACCTTCTGCCTTAATTCAGGTTACCTTGTCCAATATTAAGATTAGGTAGATCAAATATAAAGCATTTATGTAGGACAAAAAGTAAAAAGAAAAAAATCTTTAAGGTGCCAATGTAAATATTTTGTCTGTATATAAAAGGGCCTTGCAGAAAACAAATGAACAAAAATCTTTTTGCAGAACTTGTGTCAAAACACATCATCATTCTTAGTTTAGAAGTTTATAATCTGGAGAGCCCACTAAGCCTGCAGAGGAGGTGATTAAATAAACTGAAAAGTGAGAAAGGTTTTCATATTGTTAATTGCAACATATGGGTATTTTAATATTGTACACTGCATGCTCAGAACAATTTCATAAATAAGCTGTGCAACAATCCTGCTGATACTGGAGGGCTCACAAACCCTTTCTTAAATCTAATCTTTTGGACATTTATGACACCATTTAGACATTTAGCTCACCCGTTAGTGTTAACTACCATAGCTTGGTAACTGCTTGATGAGGTGTTTCCCAAATAAGATACCTAATAGCCTTCACACACAAGAGTCATTAAATTAGCAATCTTGCAGGAGCCTGAAGCTATTTAGCATATTTCCTTTCTAAGCAACATGGCAGTAGAGCACAATAAAGTCTTGGATTTGTACTGATGAAATAGTGTATAGCATGAGCAAATATCACCTATTTTTTTCAAAATCTTTTTGACTGCAGTGTCACAGTGTTAGAGTGCAGGGTGGGAAATACACTTAGAAAATGCATGTCAAAATGTTTACTGAATGCGGAAATATGCTACTTAAAACTTATCCATCTTCTGTTGCAGGTAAACAAATATTCTGATGCATGCCATGTGTCTGAAATTTTCTGATCTGCTCTAAAGACACTGCTTGACAGTGGAGCTGGCTTTCAGAATAAATTTCAGCCTAAGCTGAATAACAACACTTAGCTGCAGTTTCATTTTATTAACAGTAAATCCAATACCAACACTTTACCTTTAACCAAATTATGCTGTGTGAAGAATTCCACAAGTTTATCTCACTTTTGCATATGCTTATTTAATGGCTCAGGGAGATAGCTCCCCTTAACTACCACCATCTTATTTGATAACACCATAGCAGGTACATTAAAAGTAGGGAATGCTGCAGCTGCAATGTCTTAAATTTATTGACAATAAATGGGGGAGTTACCAAAGAGTACTGGCACTAAAGCTTGACAAGTCCATACTATAAATCTGTGTGCTGATAAGGATTGATTTCTTGGACAGTATTTATTTGGTTATATTCATATATATGTGTGATTAGATAAATGATTCAATTTATATATCAAGATTTCTGTGTTAGGGCTGCTCAATGGAACAGTGGGTAGCACTGCTGCCTTGCAGCAACAAGGTTGCGGGTTTGATTCCTGGCCTGGGGTCTTTCTGCATGGAGTTTGCATGTTCTCCCTTAGCATGCATGGGTTCTCTCTGGGTACTCTGGCTTCCTCCCACAGTCCAAAAACATGACTGTTAGGTTAATTGGCCTCTCTAAATTCTCCTTAGGTGTGAGTGTGTGACGTTGTTTGTCCTGTTTGTCTCTGTGTTGCTCTGCGATGGACTGGTGACCTGTCCAGGGTGTACCCTGCCTCTCGCCTGTAGACAGCTGGATATAGGCACCAGCACCCCTCGCGACCCCACTTGGGATAAAGCGTGTCAGAAAATGGATGAATGGATGGATTTCTGTGTGATGTGGGGGGTTTGATGCAGTGTTCCTACAAATGTAAGATCTACAATAATGATGCCATTGAAGAAGTAGTTTTCAGTGTAACTCTTTGGTTTGCAGGTGTGTCCATAAATCAGTCTGCATTCACCTCAACTTAAATATTTTTTTCCAAAAACACACTCAGTTGATTAGGGAAGGTCCAAAACATGTACACTATCAGTAGCTCTATGTTGTGCAAATGCACTCTTGCTCTAAATTTTTCAAGGTGTTGTCTAAGGGAAGAACATTAGACCAAAACAGCCATGGTGTCTTTGGTATTTGGAACTTAGCTTTGCCTTCAAGCACACACCTTTCCAAATAATAGAAGGACAGGCCAAAACGTTTATCTATATAGCACATTTCAGCTGCAAGACACATTAAAGCACTGTACATGAAGTAAAAAGAAAGAAGCATTATAGGAAAATAACATTACACTGGCATAAAGATCATTTAAAAGAACAAACATTTATAATTAGAATGATAGGATTATAAAAATAAAAGTAAATGAAACAAAAGAAAAGAAATTAGGAGATCCAAACCTAACTGACAGTGTTTAGAGGCACATTCAATTGCCACTCCCAGCAAATACGTTTTTAATATGGATTTACAGCACTGACTGCTTCTGCACTCTACAATTTTCTAGTAGTTTATTGTAGAATAGTAGGGTTTAAGAACTAAAAGCAGCTTCTCCATGTTTGTTTCTGGTCCTGGGATTACAGATTAGATTTTAGTCATAAAACCTGAGAAGTTTGGGTGATTGATACAATGGCAAAAAGTCTGTAGAGCAGTGTTACAAAATTATGGTCCTTGAGGTGTGGTGTCCTGCAGCTTTAGATTCAACTGTAGTTCTGCGGTAGCAGCTCGTCTAAGTTACTCTTTTTCAAGATTTGTTCACCTATTTGCTATTTGTTAATTTTACAGCCTGGGGGAAAAACAGCTGACAAAAAAGACATAACTATTGCTGAGTTAAATCAGATGTTATGATAGACAGAGCTTAAATATTAACAAAGCTGCTTGTAAAAAATAAAGACAGCAGGAAGAAGCACTTGGGCCTTTTTTTTGTATTTTTGATGAAATGGGAAATTTTGACAAAAATATATTTCTAGTTGGAGATAACTTTTGTACCACACTTGGTAGGGATGTACTGTACAGTCCATTTAAGAAGTTAGCATCTGAACTCCCTGGTAGAGTGGAGTTCAGATGCTGCAGTAACAGGAGATTTGTTAACTGTTAACCGTGGTAAATAAGGCGCAAGCATTACTAACGTTCTGAGTGCAAACTCAAAAAACATGTATCTTCCTGCACATATTTTTCTATTAGTATTGAAATAGGTCAAATTAACATGGTAGTTCATAAACCCAAAAAAACAAACCAAAAAAAAAACAAAAAGCCACTTAAACATTATGTGTATGAGAAAGTTTAAAAGAAAAGAAAAGCAGGGGGGCTCAACTTGACAACTAACCACAGATTCTGACAAGCAGTTTAAACAGTGTCATTCATATCAGAGATAAGCCTTTACTGTCTTGCTCTTTCAACTTTGTAGCTGAAAATCTTAAGAACAAAGGAAAAATTAAACAGAAGTGAAAATTACTCATAGGCTCACATGTGTTCCCACTAATCTTTTTCTTTTCTTGTCATTTTGTATATTATTGCATTTCTTAGCACTTTTTTAGTTTTTACCTCACATAGTTCTCATTTCTTAATCCATTCAGTTTCTTTTCATCTCTTTCTTATCCACACTACAGACCTCATAAATTCAATCTCCTCTTGCATGTGTTCCTTTTGTCCTAATATTTCATTGGATTCAAATTAAACATCTTGTCATCTAACTAGGGGAAAGGCGTTTCCAAGTCAGTGTCCCTAAACTGTGGTCCATGTTCGGACTTACCTGTTGGCTTGAAGGCACTCAGCCACAGTGACTCATACACCTGGGCTGTGGAGAACAGAAGGTCTTTTCACAAGGATGGCAGCAACTCCTCTCTTGGCTCGCAGGAGCTGTCCTTTTCAGATATCTACCCAGAAGACTCTTCTCACTTGGAATCTCAGGTATGTAAAAACACCTATAATAAAGGAGGAAGGAGCTCTTTTTGTAAGAGACCAATTTCTTTTTAACACCTTCCAACTCAAAGCTACCAAATAATTTCTTCCTTCACCACAGTACCATCTGGAATGTCACATTTTATATTTGACTGTTCTTTTTTGATTATTTAAATAATGCCTGGTTGTAGTTGCATCAGATGATAGTTTTATTAGCTCTTATAAAGCTGACACTAACATATGGGACTCATTGTTTTCAGTACTGTACTCCTCCTCGTATCTCTCGCACAATGTCGATGGGTAGAAACCTTTCTGCTATTGCACATGAGGTATAGTGAACATTACATAGGAGGTTTTACTTTAAATCTACTGAAAGTTTTATTAGGTTTTCCTTCTCATTCGCTTGCTTTGTTTCCTCCCCTCTGCTCTGTTAGAGGCGTCATATTGAGATAATAGAGCTGACCAATGACGGGAAAGGACTTGGTTTTGGCATCGTAGGAGGACGAAGCACAGGAATCATGGTCAAGACAATCTTACCTGGAGGTGCAGCAGGAAGGGTAAATCATTCCGTTAATCTAAAAACAACTAGAATGGAGTAAGTCAGGCTAACCTAAGGGGAAGACTACAAGAAAGTAGTTTACTTTGTCACGCACCACAAAATGCACTGGTAAAAAAATCTGTTTTGTGTATGTACGTTATGTAAAAATACGTGTTTGTTGAAATGATTTTTTACAGGACGGTCGATTGCGTAGCGGAGATCAAATTCTGCGAATTGGAGATACAGACCTAGCAGCCATGAGCAGTGAAGAAGTCGCACAGGTACCAAAATCTAATAAATCATATCTACAGTGCCTTTCGCAATTTTCTATACATATTATTGTAATTTAATGTTATAGACTGAGGGTACGGCATGAGCGTGGAGTAAATTTGAGAGGGGACGAGGGGAAATGTCCCCTGCACTTTTTCAGATGTCTGTTTTTGTCGCCTGCACAATTTACTGTCCAAACACAATGTTATGCTACAGTACACAGACAATCGTCGAGCACTAGGACCAAGCAGAAAACCGCAGCTCAAACTGAAGCCCGTCTTCTTGAGTTTAGACCACCCACAAAAACCTGAGTGGCCCACCTTCTTTTCTTGTGTGATAGGTTGTCACAGCTGTTACTCCTGAGAAGCTCACTTTACCAACAACTGATGCACCAGTGAATTGGGTCTGTGATTGGATGGGCAATCAAGCAGAATTTAGTTATGCTAAAAAATACTTGCCCCCCCATCATAATTTCGACCATGGGCATGAATTAAGTCTCTACCTGCTACTTGTCTCCAGATGCCTCATAATTAGTCAGTGCATTCCACATGTGTAGAAATGAATGTCAGACATATACAGATTTTTTGCAAAGGCCCAAAAGGTTTGTTAGAGAATAATAGTGAGAAAAAAACATGAGAATCAAGAAACACAGCAGGCAGCAATATAGAAGATTAGGTTTTAAAAACAAACCCTTAAACCCCTTTTCAAGCAGCAGTAAAGGGTATGGCACAAGACAACTGCAAACCTACCAAGACATAATCTAACTGTGAAACAAAGGTGACAAGCCTTGTCGAGGTGCTAACTGTGAAACAAAGGTGACAAGCCACGTCGAGGTGCTAACGTCTCTTTTAAACACTTTAAAAAACTCTGAAAATTGAATACGAAAGGCGGATTCTTGATTCTCAACGTCGGAGTACACAGAGTGAAGCGAAAAGACTACAACTGTGTAAACAGGCCCCATTTCCGTTTCCGGTGGCAGGGGAATATTGACTATTCCAACAGAACTCAATGGGATTTACAAAATGCTAAATAAAACACTACAGGAACGTTTTTTCTTTACGAAACTTTTTTTGGAACGTCATTGAACAGCGCTGACGACCCGGTGAGTAGCATATTTTAAAAAAAAGAACGTTTAAGGTTGTTTTAAGGACATTATCGGACATGCACTATGGAAGCCATTCTGAAGCAGCCAGGGGGGGGTTCTGCATGAGCCAAAAAGCAGAGACAGGACCAATTGTCAAAATTTTGGTGTTGATCATTCGATTTCATCCTGGACACTACAGAAAATGGGCTAAAAGTGTTAAAAACCGGAATTCTCCTTTAAGCAGCAAAGACGCTCATGGTAACTCCGGAGCAGCTTAAAAAAATCCATTGATCGTTTGGGAGAATATGTTGCCATTATGTGATGACTAGAATAAAGCCATTTTATTAACAAAGACAGGATTTCCTGGTGAAAGGCACCCTAAGTATTCATTGAACATAGGCAACATGTGGTAACAGATGGTCTGTTTAAAAACTAGAAATCTACATTGACCACATTCTAATGAGTGGCAACTTGGGTGTTGGTGACACAAGGTTTTAATGCAACGACACACCAACCTTCAAGGGAAGCATGAGCTTCCTTGTGTTTTGTCTCTTGCTTGGACCAGATTTATGATGTCAATTGGATGACATTTTAGAGTAGTAGCCATTCACCACTTTCCTTGGCTGGTCCTTTGAGACTCCTTGTTTAAATGTCAATCTTTGTACCAAAATATTCCTTCTGTCAGAATTTGTGGACATTAAGATCTAAAGAGAAGCACCTTCTCCTGGTCAACCTGTAATTCAGTGAAAAGGTGGAGTCAGAGTAAAAAAACATGCACCCCCAGGAGAAGGAGGGCGGTCACTCCAGTGGCTGGAAGTTTGCTGTCATTCTGCTGGAAAGTGCCATTTTGAATGGCTGCTACTGTAATATTTCACCAATTGTAGTTCATCAAGAGATAGCATGCATACATGTGCGGCCAGCATTTGATTGGTCACATGTGGAGTGCTGACAATCATTGCGCGGGCTGATTACAGGTGGTCTCTTTTCTCTCTTCTGCTTCGTAGTGTAGTGTATATGCACATTCATTGCACACGTGAAAAATGTGTTGGAAGTTGCAGCTCTATGCACAGCGTGTGTTCTGTGTCTAGGGAGGGGCAGCCAGGACTATAATGGTCGTAGAAATACAGCCAGAGCTACAGGCAAATTGTTTATGTTAAATAATTTTCATTTGTTGAAATCATCCAAACCCAACAAAGAGTTTGTGTCAAGACTAGATCAGGCAACTGCTGTAAATACTTTCAAGGCTTAGGTGTTTTACAAAGTTTCATTTGGGGAATATATTGTGTTTAAATCTCTGTTTAAGTCTTATGCAAAGCTAAGAGAGATAACCTGAGACTCACTGCTTTGATTGCAGTGAAAAGTTTCAGCAGGCAGCACAGTAGTGAATTTTACCCTTGCAGCAAGGGGCTCCTGGGTTCAAATGTATTGGCTAGGTACTGTCTGCATGAAGCTTAGGTTCTCTTAAGTCACTCTGACTTCTTTCCAGACTCAAAACAACCTTGGTGTTAGGTTAATTTATCCTACTGCAGGAGGCTTAACCTATGTTGCACTGACTACCTGTCCTGGTTTTACCCCACCTCTTGCCCAATGACAGCTGGAGAAAGAAACCAACATAACTCTACAAGCATTGTTTGTTGCTTTCAGTTAAAATTCTATTCCACTAAAATATATTGAGGAGGTTGTGATATAACAAAATGTTATTAACTGATTGAGGCATATGAAGACCTTGGAAGGTTCTGCAGTTCTTTATTTTCACCTAACCAAATGTCTATATTTAAAGTCCTTATCTATCAGGTGAAAAACTAATGACTAGAAAGTATCTTGCAGCAAGTTTTAACTCATCTTCATTTCCGTTTGTAATAAGAGTACTGCTACAAATACAGAAAAATCTTTCTTCCTTTTTTTTTATTAGCATGCTAACCCACGTATTCATTTTAACTTATTCACAAACCATCACCTGGTCCAGGTGCTGCGAAATGCTGGCAACAGGGTGAAACTCCTTATTGCAAGGGATGTTACCAAACCCAATTACCTCTCCTCCCCTGCTCTGAACCAGGACAGCTCAGATGACAAGGTTTGTGTCTTTCCCATCTGCGATTTTCTATGTGTTTTTTAGTGATATTTCTAGCCAAAGTAATAAATGTTTTTTGTTTTATTTTCCCATTTTTTTTCACCTATTTCCAGCCCAATGAATCCAATAAGGACAAAGAGTTCAGTGTCCAGTTTACTAAAAATAGCCGGGGCCTTGGCTTCTCTGTCTCAAGCTATGTAGGAGACCTGAACACAGGTATTTTAGCTGAGGCATATCAGAATTTCAAAATGGCCTGCAGACAATAAAAGAAAGCAAAAGTCACCCTTGAATTTAACTTTTTTTTTTTCAGTCCCCAGTACCGGCGTGATGGTGAAGAGAATTGTAAAAGGCAGTTCTGCAGATCAAGATGGACAAATACGCGTTGGAGACATCCTCCTTTCTGTATGTTTTCAAAAAAAAAAAAAAAAGAATGTTTTACTTAGTTTGTTTTACAGTAAACTGGAAAAACAAAGCTCTGATTTCTACGTTCAACCAAGCCCTGTAGCTTATTTCAGTTATTTGAAAAGGATTTTTCATAAATTTTGCACATTTTTTACAAGGGGAGTTGATTAGACAACAAACAGCTTCCGTTTTTACAATCGTATCCCCACTATGTAGATAAATATCTCTTAACATGTTGAAGAGAAATTTAGAAACATTTTTGTGAGAACCAAAACTCTGCTGAAAGTTAAACCAAAAAATACACATATCAAAAAAATTACTGTCTGTGTTATATTAATGCTGATTAGTATTGCTGATTTACCAAAATGTCAGAGTGTACATATTAAAGCATGAGTGGACATTTAATAATGCTGATTATTAACATATATCCAGTTAACATACGTATCTTCTTATAACTTTACGTTCAATTTGAATGTCGTCTCATGTCGTAGGTGGATGGTGTGAACCTTCACGGCTGGAGTGAACAACGTGCCCTGGAGGTGCTTAAAAAGACCGGTCCTGTGGTCAGACTGAAGCTCCTGAGAAAGGCCATCCGCCCTGGTCCCATCCTTCCCTCCGTTCCTCCTCTGCAACCCCTCCGACACTTCCACAGCTTCCATGAAGGCAGCCCTTACAAATCAGGACTCGGCAAGATTCAAGAGACAGGTGCTCTGCACTGATAAAAACAGACAGTGTATCTATTCCCGAGCAAATGAGAATGTGGAGGCTTTTACAGATATAAACCTGTGCAGCTTCCCCTGCTGAGGGATACTTTGATTGAGGTTTTCTGGTATCAGTTTAGACTCAGACTGAATTCTAATTTTGGTGCTTCTTTGAGCAAATTATGACCTTTTGTACTCTGTGCATGAAAAGAAGGAAAAAAAATAGATATTTTCTGATACAGGCATGACAGTGTGTAACACTGAGCTGATCCGTCCTTGTGTGCTAAAACGGTTCCTCCATCTCCCAGGAATCAGGTCTTTGCGTGAAATCTCCCGGCGAGCAGCATATGCCAGCAGACGACCCCAACACGATCCTAGAGAGGGTAAGCTTCCGTTTTCCGCACGGCACAGTGTGCAGAACCTACTTCATAGGACTCGGTCTACTGATCTGCTGTGGATCACAAAACAGCAATGCGCCACGAACCATGCTCTTTGATGGGACTCTATTTATAGTTCTGTGCAATCATGTGTTTATCCAGCTCATTCAGCTCATTCCAGATGATTTGTCTCTCACCCCGCTTGCATATATTACTTTATTTAGACAGAAGAAATTTTAGGGCCTGATTAGAGGCTGCAGACAAATAGGCAATGATTGCTGTTAGGCTCTAATAGATGAATCAGAAAGCAAAACTTTGTCAGGAAATCACAAAATGCTGAACGTGAATATAAATACCCTTTTGTGAGAGTGTGTATGCCTGTGCAAGGAGGATATATCGACACTCTTCTTTGCCTCAAGGAGAATTATGTTGTCTTCTCTATAATAGCACCAAGGTGATTTTTCATATAGGACCCCGTTTTTTTATTGATTGGTCCGTGTGGGCCTTTAAACAACGTGTGTATATAAGGGAGACTTTATGGATTCCTGTGTATGTGAAATATGGAGGATGTGCTTTTGTGTGTGCACATTTTAAAGGTGTGAAACTGGCTCCAGAAGAAGAGGAAAACCTGAGGAAGAGATGGCAGCATGCAGTTGGACACAAATATGAAGTGATAGTAAGTCTTCTTTTTGAAAAAAATCTTTACTGCTCTGGGCTTTAAAAACTGATTTACTTCCTGTTTCTAACTGCTTACACACTAAGCTAAAACGACCCTTTACATCTCAGCCCATGTTTCAACGCTTCTGTTTCCTGACATTTATGTCTTCCTTTTTTTCTCTTTGTAGGTCTGTCAGCTGGAGAGGTTCAGTGAGACAAGTGGTCTAGGTATCAGTTTGGAGGCTCGGGTAGGACATCATTACCTGTGCTCCATCTTACCTGAGGGACCAGTTGGCCAAAGTGGCAAAATCTTTACTGGGGATGAGATACTGGAGGTAATTCAGACATTGTCATCTGTTTAAGTCTCAGTTCCCCTGCTTATTCATTATCCATTTTATATAGGCAAAACAAAAGTTTCAGAGAATAAAAAAAAATGAAGCAGTCTATCGATGTAGTCATTCACACGAACCTTTGTAATACCACAAACTCAAAAGATAAAAAATTTTGTTTTTTGATTACATGCAAACATGAGTTGCATCAGGTCGGTATAAAACTGTTATTTAATGAATTAAGAGAAAATGAAACACAACAGCAAGCACTGGATCAGAGAGCAGGGCTTAAAGCATCACAGTGAGAACTACCCAGAGCAGATGGCCAATGGAAATGTTCAGTATTTAAGCTGTGTTAGTGATTGCTAAAGTAGGGGCATGTAGTTGATTGGTAATAAGGAGCGAAAGAGGAGGAAAACAAGAAAGCAATGGTCAAATAAAGATAATTTGGAGAATGACTCTTGGTGATTACACAGGGAATTGGTTGGCCAACCAAACAGAGTAAAAAAACTACCGGGTATGAACAAATATAAGAAAAACAACAAAAATGAGAGAACATCAAGATAATTGGAAAGAAAACAAAAATGAAAAGACAACACTCTGATTTTTTTCTAATTATGATGCATCAACTGGTATTTAATTTTAACTAAATATAAATCCAGCAATTTCATGAAGAGACACATTACAGCAGACATATCAGGGAGAAAGTTGTCAAGACATTTAAAAGCAAGATTAAAACAGAGTGAGAAGTTGAAAAAACTAGCACAACTGCAAACCTAGGGAGTGTTGGCCTTGTGGGTTAGACCAGTGTGCATGTGCTCTGAGAAGGTTGCAAGTACCCAGTTTGATCCCCACAGCCTCCACTCTTGGTTCCTGAGCGAAAACCCTTATACCCTCATTGCTCCCGGGGCGCCGCACAATGGCAGCACACTGCTCCCCAAGGGGATGAGTTAAATGCAGAGTTAAAATTCTTCAATGTGAGATCAATATAGTTCAATTATTTATTAGAATTATATTTATTATTTATTTACCTAGAGAGGCAGTGATCAGAATAGCAGCCAATAGGCCCAAGTGGAAGAATTGTACGGTTGGAAAAAAATCTGTCACCACAAGACTACAGTATTTTTACTGCACTACAAACATTTGTTCCTTATGGAAAATGATAATGAAAAAGTTTTAAAGAAAATATTGAGTTCTATTTAGACTTCTCACAGGTTGGAGGGTTGAGCAAAGATAGGGGAGACGATGCTACCAAGTATTGACTAATGGAGTTGAATAACCAATGGATGAAAAAAAAAAGAAGAAAAACAGTATTTTTTCCTCCTTCTAGGTAAATGGAATCCCCCTCATTGGACAGACACATAAAGAAGTGGTCAGTATTTTAAAAGAACTGCCAGTGCAAGTATACCTGGTGTGCTCCCGCATTGTCCCCCCTTCACTGCATGACAGTGATGAAGAAGGAAATGATGAAGTCTGCCTCAGTCTCAAAGAGCTACTGGCTGAGTTCAATGAAAAGGTGAGGGGGCAATCTGATAAAATATCATCCTTTGGTTCCTTTTTTAAAGCATTCTTTTAAAATGTCTTTGACTTTTGTTTAATACATTTGCACATATCTCTTTTGCTGTCTAAATTGTTCCTCTCTATCTCTCTCTCTCTCTCTCTCACTTCTCTTTGTCTCAGCTGGATCACGGCTGTGTCATTCCCTGTCCTACAGCTGAAGACATTACAAAGCGAGGTGTGCCCCCGATGTCACCTCCTCTGGCTATGTGGGAGAGAGAAGCCCAAGTCGTCGAGCTGGAAAAAGGCGAGTCGGGACTTGGCTTCAGCATCCTGGACTACCAGGTCAGCGGATATAATGGAGATGTGCTGTCTTTTATTTTGTAGGATACGATAATTTTTTTTTCTTTTATGTCTTAATTCTAATTTGTACATTTTCTAGCACTCTTTTATCCTACAAAAAGTTATCTGATAGAAAAATTGACTCACCTGCTTTTATTTTAAAAAGTAATTCTTGTGATTGCACCATTTACCTGCATTTGTCTCTCATTTGTTATAAATCTCAAATTGCTCATGATTATGTCAAACGAAATATTCCTTTTGAACTTTCTGTATGACTTTAGGATCCAGAGGACGCCTCCAAAACAGTGTTAATAATCCGTTCCCTAGTTCCTGGTGGCGTAGCAGATCAAGATGGCCGCTTGCTACCTGGCGATCGACTAATGTTTGTTAATGAAACTGACCTAGAGGGCTCCAGTCTGGATTATGCCGTGCATGTGCTCAAGTCTACTGAATATGGACCCGTGCGCATTGGGGTTGCTAAACCCCTGCCGGTAAGTGAGGGTGAAAGAAAATACCTTTTCTTAAAAGAATACAGGATTCCACCAAAAACTATTTAACTTTTTTTTTTGATAATTACACACTTTATTAAACAAAAATCAATATTTAGTTGACACATTTAGAAATATGTTAAGCATTTTATGAGTAAATAGAGTATCTTTAAGCAGTAGAATCAAAAACCTAGAAGTCATAATACAAATCTTTTCGCAAATGAAGCTGTTTTAGTAGTAATAAAACAAACCAAAAACTCAGCTTACATTTGAATTCAGTTATTCACCTTGGTTTATTCCAAACTCTAGAATCTTAACCAACTCTATGATTGAATCGCAATCCTAAATTGGTGTGATATTCCCTTTAGGCAGATTATTACTTTTATGATGTTCTCTTTATTCAAGCAACACAAGCCGATATTATCAGATTTATTAGTCAGACTTTTTTTCTCTGGTCACCTTGCTGTCAAGCTGCTTAACAGACATGCTGCTTGTCATCAGCTTATTAACAGAGATGGGTGGCCACCCTTTTATTTCCACACCCTGGCTGACTGTGTTTTTCATTGAAGCAAAAAAAGTGTGATAATCTTTTTTTCAACAAGTTGATGGGCAGTGTGCAGCAACAGGAAGAGAAGACAGTTACTGTATTCTCCATGCAGTCTAATCACTTCGGCACCCCCTCTGTCACCTTATTAACACTGTAAGCTATAGCAACTTTGTGACAGAAGTTCTTACAGATTTGTAACCAACCAAATAAAAGAAAAGTCTTACTGAAAAAGCTCTAATGATCATGAATTTTTTACCACACAACAAGTAATATTAAAAAAGAGAGCGGCTGTTAGTTGAAAATAAAACTGCCAAAGACTATTTCTGAAAGCTGGTGGCTCATACAATCCCTGGTAAAAATGATGGAATCACAGGCCTCGGAGGATGTTCATTCAGTTGTTTCATTTTGTAGAAAAAAGCAGATCATGGTCATGACACAAAATAAAATACTTTCAAACGGCAACTGTCTGGCCTTAAGAAACACAAAAATAAAATTTTAAAAAGTGGTAGTCAGTAACAGTAACTTTTTAAGGCCAAAGAGAGGGGAAAAAATTATAGAACCACACAGTTCTGAGGAAAATTATGGAATCATGAAAACAAAAGAACACTCCTACACATCACTAGTACTGTATTTTGTTGCACCACTTCTGCCTTTTATAAGAGTTTGCAGTCTGAGGCATGGACTTAAAGTAATGAGTGATAAATAGTACTCCTCATCCATCTGGCTCCAACTTTCTCTGATTGTTGTTGCTAGATCAGTTTTACAGGTTGGAACCTTGTCATAGACCATTGTCTTCAACTTCCACCAAAGATTTTCAATTGGATTAAGATTTGGACTATTTGCAGGCCATGACATTGACCTTGTGTGTCTTTTTTCAAGGAATGTTTTAACAGTTTTTGCTCTATGGCACGATGCGTTATTATCCTGAAAAACATAGTTCAATCACAAAAAGCATTTCAATTGATGGGATAAAAAAAGTGTCCAAAATCTCAACGTAAATTTGTGCATTTATTGAAGATCCAATTACAGCCATCTCCCTAGTGCCTTTACACGATTAGCAGTCCCATATTATCAATGACTGTGGAAAACCGCATGCTATCTTTAGAAGTCTCATTGGAACGGTACCAAGAAAAAGTTCCATCATCACCACCTTGCCCAATGCAGATTCGAGATTCATCACTGAATATGACTTTCATCCAGTCTTGTTTTTTTCTGTTAAGGTGTTAATAATGGTTTTCTTTTTCCTTTCCTTTATGTAAATCCCATTTCCTTTAGCTGGTTTCTTACAGTTCGGTCACAGAAGTTGACTCCAGTTTCCTCCCATTCGGTCCTCATTTTTGTTGTTGTGCATTTTCGGTTTTTAAACATTGCTTTAAGTTTTCTGTCTTGACATTTTGACGTCTTCTTTGGTCTACCAGTATGTTTGCCTTTAACAACCTTCACATGTCATTTGTTTTTGGTCCAGATTTTAGGCACAGCTGACTGTGAACAACCAACATCTTTTGCAACATTGTGTGATGATTTACCCTCTTTGAAGAGATTCATAATCCTCTCCTTTGTTTCCATTGACATATCTCATGTTGGAGCCATGATTCCTGTCTATCCACCTGGTGCAACAGCTCTCCAAGGTGTGATCACTCCTTTTTAGATGCAGACTAACGAGCAATTGGTCCAATTGGATGCAGGTGTTATTTTGGGGATGGAAATTTAAAGGGTGATTCTATCTTTTTTTTTCTCGGAGTTAAGAGATTCAAATTTTTTTTTATCTGCTTGGTCTTAAAAGGTAACCGTGACTGACTATCACATTTTTTAATTGTTTTCTTTTAGTGTTTCTTAAAGCGAGACAGTTGCCATTTAAAATGAATTTAGTTTTGAGTCATGACTATGATCTGCTTTTATTCTACAAAATTAAACAGCTGAATGAACATCCTCTGAGGTCGCTCATTCCATAATTTTTGCCAGGAGTTGTACATAAGTGTACATAAGAGTACATAAGAGTTTGTACATAAGAGTTGTACAAAATATCTGTATGAAATCTGTTAAAGAAAAAATCCTTAGATGTTGTTGTGAAACATCTCTATCAAATGCATAATTCATACAAGCTTTTCCTTAATTATGAAAAAAATATTGCTTAGATGAATGATTTCCCTGAAACGCATTGTATTTCTTCTTTTTGTTCTGTACTCTGGCTTAGTAACATGGAGGAGAGAATCCAGTTACAGGCCTTCTGAATTTTTAATGCGCCTGGAAGATGAACACAGCCGCGCTACAGATGGAGAGAGTACAGGGAGAGCAGTTTGGAGTGTCTAATTTACAGTCACCTTTTTCTAGCTTGTCTGCCTGTCTGGGAATCTACCATTTACTCACTTTTGAAGCATATGGAGTTTGTTTTTTTCTATAATTTGTAAATTTCTATGTGCAAGTGTGTTTTTTGAACAAACTGGATCTAAAATTTGGATTGTTTTACTCTCAGCTGGAATTGTGTGGTGGCTTGACACCGATAGCAGAGCGAAGTGCACGGCCTTCGACCGATGACACCGACAGCCACACTCAGATCAGCCTGCTAGCTGAGGCCAATTTCAACTGCACAACTTGGAACACCGACGTTAGCAGCTTTAGTCAGCCGTGTTGCACGGTATGTCACACAAACCTGTCTGTCTCTCTAGCTAATCGTCTAAAGCACTAGTTGTTGCAAAACTGTCAAAATTACCATATTTAAACTGGATAATTTGTTTGCTGTATTTCAGCAAATGTCATCTTGTTTTTTTATTCATAATGGAAAACTTTTCAGAATTCAGTAAATGAGATTTCACTACAAGCTTTGCACTCAGTTGGAAGCATCTTATGAGTGACACTTACAGGTAACAATAGAGAATCATGCAGAACTGCTCATTATCATGCAAACCTGAAATTCTGTGGGTAGCCATTTTAGCTCTTCTGAAGCTGGTTACCATGTCAGCCTCTGTTCTCTTCATTCCGTTTAAGCTTGTGGAGTTCACCTCCGGCTGTATTGGTGTCACAGCATCAGGTATAGAGAAAGTGCTCGCTGTCAAAGGCATTAATTGTCACCTTGGCTTGATCCTGCTCAGCCAAGGTTTTGTAGTTGCTGTTGCTTAATTGCCAACAATTTCCTGTCTCTGAAAAGAGCTTATTACTCTTCAACAAGGACATAAAGGTCTAGCTCAGTGCCTTTTACACAATGTTCTCATCAAAATCACCCTCATTCCAAAGGTTTAGGACTTTATTTTTGCTTTTACTTTCTGTCAAACTTAAAAGATCTCAATTTTCTCTTTTTTTCTTTTAGAAGTGTATGCAGAAATGTGACAAGGCTACCTGTGTCAATGGTTTTCAATTTGTATTTACTCCCGAAAAAAACCTTCACTATAATAATACTTCATCACTTTAGGAGAGGGTACACTTGAGAGGGAAGAACAAATAAACAAGGTTGGAAAAACATGAAATATTTTTTTATGTTTGATGTAGCCGGTTTTCTGAAAGTTTTAGGGATACAGTAGTTGTTTATGAAATGTTTTCCACAACATACAGTATGACTAGATGTGTTATTGGAAAATGGGTTTGCATAACTTCAATCTATTTGTTTAACTGATAGTTGGGGTCTAAACTAATGTAGATTTGTAGTCATACAGCAACTATAGTGTTTCAGAATGGTTTGAAACTAAAATGCATTACTTGGTTTTATGATCACATGAATCAAAGTGGAAACTGAAAACAGAGTGTAACTATACATCTAATTTACAATATATACCATGATTAGAAGATTTCAAAAGGACTGTTGAAAAAACTGAACTTCTAATAAGAAAATTAGATTTTAACATTTTCATGGTTGGCTAGTTTATTTAATTTTCTCTTTGCAGGCTTTTTAGTGCCTTTTATTATTCTGTTTTGTTTGTTGGTCTTTTATAAACATGCATGTCATATTTTTTTCTGTCCGTTTTACTTTGATTTTATTATGTTTATCTGCTGCCCCACTGCATTGGTTTTTTACTGGCTTATATAGAAATTTCTTCTTTATTTATATTAATCTTGTTGTTTCTAATGGTCTAAATTTGTTTGCAGGGCCAGACAATCTTTTTCCATCCTCTGTCATTGTACTCATGCCTCCTTTGTGGCCACAATGATGGCAGAAATTCTTGTGTGTTAATTTGCACCAGACTTTCAGAACTGCTAAAGGGAACGCTTAATTTGATCCTGCAGTTGAGTTTCATGCATGGAAAATCTCTTTGCACGTGCTAAATGTTTACATTTGTATATTTTCCCCTGTGATTTTGGACATTTCGATCATTAGAGTATCATCTGCACATTGAAGAAATGCACACTTTAAAAGGTTCGCTGCAAAAGTTCTTCCACATGGCGACACTATTTTAAGGTTGAGTGGAGGTTTTTGAGGACCAAATGCAGAGATGAGGGGGCAGAGATGAGTTTGCAGATTTAATCGAGAATCCCACAGGCAACTGAAGGAAAGTCCAAAAAACACAAAATACTGAAAACCACAAATCTAGCAAACCACAGGGAAAAACACACATGGGTAGCAAAGAGACAATGAAGTAACAAAACAACAAGAAACCAGTTATGAGGAACTGCAGTGGTGGTGTGTATATGGGGAACAGAACAAAGGATGGGCTAATAAGACTAAGACTCAACTTTATTTATCCCTTGGGATTATTCCTTCAGGGCAATTCTGGAAATGATTAATGATATAATCATTATTTGTGATAATAATAATAAGCTGATATGGAGCAGGTGTGAATAGAACTAACCAGCCAAGGGGAAAGGAAACAGGCATAAGGGGGCAAAATAGAGTAACTCCATAAAACAAACTGACAAAACTGACAGAAAGCAACTACAAAGACACAAATTACAAAGAGACTATAAACCAGAAAAGAGGGCAGAACCCCAACACACTATTTTGAAGGCGTCTACAAAAGGAACAAGGCAAGTTTATCTATTTAGAACAGTACAGAACAACTCAAAATGATCTACATGAGGATAAAAGAAATATGCAGAAAATATTCTAACTCCATTAGCTTTGTATGGATTTATTACCGTTTTAGTTTACAGGTTTCAAAAAGGATGTAAAATATGCAACCTGCCTCAACAGCAATATTAAAATGGATGACTTTCCAAAAGGCTGATTTACTTCATCACAGCCCTCTAATAACACCTGTACACACAATTTAAAGAGCACTGACTCCTACCACATGTTGCATAAGTATAGAGAAACAAGTGTTCTCATGGTGCCTGCTTTTTCTCCTGAATTTCTCCTCTGACGTCTTATACAAGAGTAGAAATTGATAAGTGCCTTTTCAAAACACGTTTTCTTAAAGTATCATGTGGAGCTTATTTTTTTATACAACCCACAAGCTGCAGCTAAAAAGTTCCTAGGAGTTATTTTGTACTATTTAGCAATAATGGCAGTAATTATATAGTAGTTTCAGCCATCATAGCTGGGATATATTTGCTTCCCTGTGTCACTATGCTGAGAAACATGAATCACTTTTTTTTTTATTCAGTCCCTGTGCCTCATCTCAGGATGAGCTGTTGTTTGCTAAACCCAACACATTAGAGACTGAAGAGCTGACATCATCTTTTGTTGGTTTCTCCCTACATTTACAGCCCAAAGAGTGACCCTTGTATTTGTTGCTTTGTTTTATCATGATCTTCAAAAAGTTTCTGTTAAATATAATACAATACTTGCTTGTTTTTTTTTTTTTTTTCAGCATTTAAGAAAATCATTTGACTTTATGTTTATGGCAACATAGACTTCACCGCCACACTCAAACTTATTCGGCCTCCCATAATTTTATTACACAGCAAATTGCAAAAGTATTCCTGATTTTTTCACCCCACAATTTGTAAAATGATTTATTTTATTTTAGATGTTTTATACTACACTGACATAAAGAAGTGTTCAATTGTGATGTGGAGGGTAGATTATGAATAGTTTTCTGTTATTTTTGTTCTTAAAAAGCAGGTAGACCAAACCTGAGCTTGGAGCCTCAGGTCTCTGGCTCTATGTTTTATGGTTATTGTTCTGCTGGGAGGTGAATCTCCACCCCAGTGTTTAGGCTTTTCCAGCCTCTAATAGGTTTTCCTTCAGGGCTGGACTGCACTTAGCTTCATGCATCTTCCCTTTAACTATTACCAGTTTTATCATCCCTGATGGAGACATGTAAACTTATCATGTGTTCATGATATGTGAAGTTTATACCTTAGGAATAGGTTTTTTTATTGAGAGCAAAATATTTCATTAGATCAGCATTTACTTCCCCATGTATTTTCCAACCTTTTAATATGATTTCACATGAAAGTTTTATTAATATCACTTTTTTCTTGACACTTGTCTACCATAAGGGTCACTTTTGTGGCCTTCAAATCCATTAGTTCTCCTGTCAGTAGATTCATCCAGCTGAGTTGCTGATCTTTGAAGCTCCTTTGGACTTTGGAGATTCTTGGCTGCTTTTCAAATTAATGCTTCCTTGCCAAGCCTGTCAGTTTGAGTCATGCACACCATGTGTTGGTTGGTTTGCATAATCTTTCCATTGTCAGATGATGGATTGAACAGTTCTCCAAGAGACAAAGCTTGGGACATTGTTTTATATTCTAAACCTGCTTTAAACTTTCCCAAACATGTCCTATCCTGTCTGTTGTGTTAGACGACCTTCATGATGCTGATTTTTCTCTAGTGTTCTCCAACAAAACCTTCATAGAACCCCTGGATTTACACTGGGCTTATGTTACCCAAGTTTTTGTTTTTTTGTTATTGTCTGTCCAATGCCAATTGTTTGCACTGAATACAAATGAATATTCTATTCCTTCAGATTTTTATATGTGAAGAATTTTGAAAATAGATTTTTTTTCTTGCACTTTGCAATTATGTGCTATTTTGCCTTTCATATAAAATCCTAAAAGATTTAATTGTAAGCTACCAAACCTCAAAAGATACAAGAGGAATGAATTAGGGCTTTGGAAAAAATATAGTTTGTTGTCTTTCTTTTTTTTTTTTGGTGAAGTCCTTTTTTTGGGACCTCGGCTATATTTCCTACAGTGCCATTATTTTGTTAATGATTATGAAAATATATAATGCAGAGAACAGAAGAAGATAAAATTGCTCAATGAGCAGAGTCTAAAAGTAATTTGATCAGAAAACTGGGATAAATCTATTTGTTTCCCAAGCTTTCAGCTAAAAACTGTTTCTTTCCTTCCATATTTGTAACAGATTATCTCAAAGAAATGGAAATAAATTGTTATTTTATGAAAGTATGTCAATTACAAAGCTATGTGTGTCTCATAAGCCTCCTGAAAAAGAGTTTTTATATTTTGTAATGACACAACCCTAGTTTATCTTTTGAGTTTAGCAGCCTTTCTTCTCTAAAACATTCATAGATCAGAGCCAAGCTGCTTATCAAAGAAAAAAACATTACTTTCTCAAAAAGGGGTCAGACACTAGACCAAAAATCAGTGAGTAGGTAAAACTTGAGTGAAAAACTTTGAAAGCTAAAAGAAGTATCGATCGAGACACGCTTGAAAGCTTACAATAAATTCTGGTTACTTAGAAGAAAATTACAGAGACAGTGGCATATCTATGCTCTACGTTAATGCCTGTATCACAATTCATAAAACACTCACCCCACTGTCATGTTCTCACTCCCTCCTTCACACCCCTCTTGTCTTTCTCTTAGGAAAACCAGCTGCGTTATCGCTGCAGCGCTATGGAAGATGATAGTAGGCAGCAAGCCCCACCTCTGCCCCCTCGCACAAGCTTTGAGAGGACAATCACTGTAGTCCGGGGCAACCGTAGCCTTGGTATGTTCTCCATCTTTCTCATGGTGATGGTGTCCTGGTGTGTGTACATTGCAGGCATGGCCTTGATGACACTAATTGGAGGTGGTGATGACGACTGCCCTGAAGAGGAGTGGTGACGTGGTGTTTTCGTCAAACCTGAGAGGGGAGATGAATTCTGTGTGGGGGGCAGTATGTGTGTGTTTGGAAAAATATATATTTGGGAGGTTAAATTAATTTGTAACGTTATGAATAATGTGCAATGGTTTTCAAAGCACACCCCTGTCAGAATCCTACCATTTGTGATGTAAAAAATATGACCATGATCATTGTTTTCAAAAATTGCTCTGAGGGAAAATATATAATTTGTCTCACAAAAGACACAATACCTATTTGCATAAGTGTGCATATCCCTAACAAATTTATCTTCTGATTAAACACAGCATTGGGTTATCTTTAGTTCATACCCACCATTCATTATATTGAATCTAAATAATTTGAAACCAGGTTCTGTTGTCTTAGTAGGCTTAGTAGGTCGAAGACATAGCTGGCAGAGAGTTTTCAAAGGATCAGACTGCACAGAGGTATTAGTCAGGAGAAGGTTACAAAATGTTCTGCTTTCATATAAATGTCTATTGAAAAAGCATTTGATAGACAAGAATAAAAAGCTAGTCAAGGAGGCAACTAAGAGATTTTTGTTGCCTACATGTAACAACAAATTTTGGCAAAATGATGAAGTAGGGTTAAGAGACAGGAAAACAACAAGGCCTTGCTAAAGAGCACAGACATCAAAGAACATCTAACTTTAAAAGAGCACCACACCCAAGCATCTGTTGGAAACTGATGGGTTTTAGCATGCTTAGGACAGTTAAGCAATTTCCAAAATCAACAAAGGTTTTGCGTCGTACTGTAAGAAGAAATTAAGCAAACTCAAGCCACAACTAAATTATAAAAATTCTGAACAGGAATAGGGCTGTGGCAAACAAATGTCCTCAAAATTTTAAAGATCTGAAGAAGTTTTGCTGTGTGGCAGATAGTGACACAATAATGCTAGATCAGGATGTGGGATGATTACAGATTACCTCAAAACAGACATGCTAAAATTAAATAAAAAATTTGTTTGAAAATGTATCACTTTAAGAGTATGCACACATATGCAAGTTTATCACACTTTTTCGCTCATCCCTTTTCCCTCTATTATACAGGATAAGTATCTGCTAACATGGAGAAAAAGATTTGATTTTTTTATACCACAAAAACCTAGCCTTTTAACAGATGTGTTTAGTGAGCAATGGATTAGTTTTATGAAGGTGTTGATCTATTACTTATTTTCATTTTCTATCTTAACACAGTAGGGAAATAGGAGAGTTGAAGCAAATCGTGTACTTTCATTTAAAGTTCCTATGCAAAGCATAAGAAAACCAACTAATTTGTATTCGTAATGCATGTGCTGATAAGGCAATAGACTACCTACGTCTGTGTTTGCTTGAGAGAGAGCGAGGGGTTGAAATTATGTAAATGTTTGTGGTAGAGAAAATCAAGGTCACAAAAGCAGTACACTGTGCCTCTCATATGTTGTGATTGTTTTGATCCCGTTCCTGATGTACTTAATGATGCAGGAAATGTGTGTGTATGTGTGTGTATATATATATATATATATATATATATATATATATATATATATATATATATATATATATATATATATATATATGTATATGTATATATATATATATATATATATATATATATATATATATATATATATATATATATATATATATATGTATATATATATATATATATATATATATATATATATATATATATATATATATATATATATATATATATATATATATATATATATATAGACATTCACCTACGATATACCTACATCGTAGACATGCACCTATCAGAGGCCTCTATGATTTCTAAGTGGAAGAACTTGCAAATTAACTTGCAAGTAACAATTTCCTTTATACATATAAATAGATGTCTCTGAAATTGTCTTCATAGGTGCATGCTCATTGTGAGAGACATAATCTAAAAAAAATCCAGAAATTGCAATATATAGTTTTTTAACTATTTATTTGTATGATACAGCTCCAAATAAGTATATGAACACCTGTCTATCAGCTAGAATTCTGACCCTCAAAGACCTGTTTGTCTCCCTTTAAAATGTTATTATCCTATAGTAAATTGGGTGCACCTGTTTGAGGCTGTTAGCTGTGTAAAGACACCTGTCCACCCCCCCAAAAAAGTAAGAATCTAACTACTAACATGGCCAAGGCCGAAGAGCTGACCAAAGACACTAGAGCCAAAATTGTACACCTCCACAAGGCTGGAAAGGGCTACAGGAAAACTGCCAAGCAATTTGGTGAAAAAAGGTCCACCTTTGGAGCAATCATAAAATGGAAGAAGCAAAACATTACTGTCAATCTCCCTCAGACTGGGACTCCATGCAAGATTTTACCTCATGGGGTCTCAATGATCCTAAGTAATTTAAGAAATTAGCCCAGAACTACACGGGAGGAGCTGGTCAATGACCTTAAAAGAGCTGGGACCAGCATTTCAATGGTTACTGTTGGTAATACACTAAGACGTCAATGTTTAAAATCATGCATTGTATGGAAGGTTTCCCTGCTTAAACCAGCACATGTCAAGCCCGGTCTTAAGTTTGCCAATGACCATTTGATCAACCTCCTTCCCTTAATTAGAGCACTGAAGATGGGTCGAGGCTGGGTCTCCAACATGAGAATGACCCAAAGCACACAGCCAGGATAACATAGGAGTGGCTCCTAAAGAAGCATATCAAGGTTCTGCCGTGGCCTAACCAGTCTCCAGACCTAAATCCAAAAGACAATATTTGGAGGGAGCTCAGACTCTTCTCGGCAACAGCCTAGTAACCTGACTGATCTAGTGAAGATCTGTGTGGAGGAGTGGGCCAAAATCCCTCTTGCAGTGTGTGCAAACCTGGTGAATAACTACAGGAAACTTTTAACCTCTACAATTGCAAACAAAAGCTACTCTACCTAATATTAACATTGATTTTCTCAGGTGTTCAAATACTTATTATGCAGCTTATATATATATATACAGTGTATATATATATATATATATATATATATATATATATATATATATATATATATATATATATATATATATATATATATATATATATATATATATATCAACATAATGTGTGTGTGTGTGTGTTTATATGGATTATCATGGTGTGGAAAGCAAAGGTTTGGGCATCCTATATCCTATATATTTACAGTATTAGTTTTATTGTTGTTTAACATTTCTGCTACACTTTATTACAAATGGTGGGACAAATTGCATACAAACAAAGTTCTTCTCTTCAAGGGATTCATGTACTGAGACTATGATGTGTAACAGCAAACACTTTTCTTAAATATTTCACATGAAATAAGTTTTTATCAAAGTGCTGAAACCAATGAGTCTATAAGACTGAACATTAAGCCAACGTTTGGGAGGGATTCAACGTAAAGCTTAGAGCAATAAACTACTAGCAAGATCTCATACTGGATCAAAAGTTTAGCAAAGATTATGTGTTTTATTAATATAGACTGCGATACCACATTAGAGGCTTTTATTTACCCCAACAGTGTGTCATTATCTAGCGCACAACCAGTATTTTATAGTCAACTCTGTAAATACAAAAGGGCAGTTCTAGGACTATCTTTTGCCACTTTAGCATGTTCTGATTAAGAAGATGGAAAACAACACAATGTGTTTAGAGGTAGCCTTAGACATGTAGTAGAACTTTATATTGTAAACTGGGACTAGATCTGGCTCCTGTGAAATCATGTTGTCTTGCTAAAAGTTATTGTATAATTCTCTTAGATCGCAGGATTTTTGTCCAGTCTGGGTCTTGCCCAAATTAGGATGCAAGAAAGGTTTTCTTCAAATTAGGGTTAAGAAGTGAGTGCTTGGTTATTTAAGTCTGAATACTCCTGCAAGTCTTTGCAATTCAATGTCAATTGTCCTTCCAGTCCCATGAGCTGTTCTCTCAGCAAGATTGCTTGGTTTAATGCCACTTGTCATTCTTAAGAGAGGAAAATAGCTTTTGCAAATATCAAACAGTCTCTCTTGCCCTACTCATTTTAATGGCATCAAGTATTCTAATTCCCACCATAACATGTAGTTCCTTATAGGAGGCCAATGTCAATGATGAATAAAAGGAGGTTTATACTGCCTAATGCTGGATTTGAATCAACAAGCATTTCTTTGTTGTAACTACAAGGAAGCCATGACCCTAAAGTCTCTAAAAATTTTCTGGTGATTCATGAAAACAACAGAAACACAACCTTTAGACCTGAGTCTTTGTGAGTATTAGAGCTTGAGAGAGCTGGGCTTTATATTTAATTGGGTACACGGTCTCTATAAAACTAGTTCTATTCCTTGAACCTTTTCATATTTTGCCACTTTAAAGCCAAATTCAAAAGTACTTTATCTGGATGTTATGTGATAGAGATCACACAGTTGCCATTTATATTGAGAAGAAAAAGGCTCTTACCACAGAGTTTAACAGCATTTAGTTTGTAGATTTTGAATGAGCAGCTTTGCATGTGTTTTTAGGGCCACTGCTGACAGGTGAAGCTCCTCCCCAGGCTCTCTCTTAAAGAATTTCTTGTATTTGGTTTCATCAAATCTGACCATTAAAGCTTCCTCACAACATAATGCATCCTTTATCATGATCTAGGGTTAGTATTGTGTGTGTTTGTGTTTGAGGATTGCATACTAGCCAAAACATTTAATTCGGCTCTCATTTCTCTCTCATCTTCTTACATATATATATATTTTTTTTGTTAAATTTAGTTTTGCATCCTGAAAATAGAAAAAAATGTGGCTTTTTGTTTTGGTTATGGTTAATTTTTGCCATTCTTTAGGACCAGGTCACTCTTCTGTTGCGTCCAAACTCGTTTGTGAATGTCTTTAAAAATGTCAAGGGGTCGTAACACTTTTGCAAGTTAGGTTAAGCACTTTATGGTATGCTCTTTGCTAAATTGGATCTTTACGACTCTTTAAAAATTAATTTATTCTGTGAATTGTCTTATGATGATTTGAAACTTGTTTAGCCCCTTAAATTCTGGACATATTAAAGAAAAAAACTAAGTATGCTCGTCTTTTTTGAAGACAAGCATACTTTCACTTAAAAATAATAAACTGTAAGAGAAATGCCCAAACCTTTGCTGGTCATATTAGTACAGATAAAGTCGATATTCATTTAAATTCAATTAAGTTTATTTATAATTAAAAGCTTTTTGAGATAAGCATACATTTTCACTTAAAAAAAATTAACTGTAAGAGAAATGCCCAAACCTTTGCTGGTCATATTAGTACAGATTAAGCTGATATTCAATTCAGTTTATTTATATAGCGCCAATTCACAACATATGTCATCTCAAGACACTTTACAATTCAACCAGATCTTACAGTCGAATTGATTCAAAGTTTTCTATTTAAGGAAAACCAGTTGATTGCATCGACTCATCAATCGACTGATTGATCCATTGTTATTTGAACAAATCATGTTACAATAATTCAATTCTACCTTCTACTTTTTTCAAAGTGTAACTCTATCCATCACTATGTTAAAGTGCAGTTTTGGTAACATAAAATAAATTAAAATAAAATCGTTTTTAAGGGAAAAAGGTTTGACAAACAACAAAAAAAATCTTCTGTATTTTTGTTCTTTCCTCGCTTATATGAGCTACACCTAAACTAAAAAGTTCAAAATCTTTATCAAGTAACTGTTGTAAAGCTTTGCTGTTTGATTTTTCTGAGCTATTCCTATGTAGAGTTAAGTTTAAATGCTTTCACATGGGAAATTTCTAATTTAGCTGACGTTTTTAAAAGTTTGTCAATCACAATTTTGTGACCCATTCACGATTACAACTGCTGATTTCCTGGCTTTGGGTTACACGTTGACACAATCAACTCTTGGGCATAGTGCTGTCCAAAAAGGAAAGCTTTTTAGCTTAATTTTGAGATTTCCAGAAGCCATGAAATATATTTTAATTTTAACCTTGTTACTGTACAACCAAGATGTTTCAAACTTAAAATGATAAAAAAGAGCAACCTTGCTGAAGTATTTTGCTGTCATCAGATGAAACCTTTGCTCTCTCTTGATCTCCTAGAGCTTAAAAAAAATGCAGCTGTCTTGATATGTCTTAACACTGTAGTTGTTCTCTTTATGTCTTTGCTAGAGTGGCAAACGACTAGTTAGCTAACGTTGAATTTCCTTTCCTCTGCCAAAGAGGAAAGCATTGTTTTAGATTTAATAGCCCTTAGGTAGGGTGTGCTCAGTCATCAGAAAGCAGAATGATTTTTCATTTTTGATAGAGGTATAAAAAAACACCACATTTTGGTCACCTGCTACTATTTGTTTTTTGTGCATCTCACTTAATTATGATTCAAATCTTTTTGTGTGTGTCTGCAATGTATTTGATACAGTGTTGTATTTCAGCATATACTGAACACTTTATTTATTTGGAGTTATATCTTTGAAATATGTCTTAGGTTTGCCCTGTATGTAGCAGTGGCTTTGTCTCCACATTATTGTACTCCATGCACTATGATTGTATTGCAATTTGAATGTAATACCAAAAAAAGCAATAAAATATTTATTCAAGTAAAAATAAGCACAAAGTCATTTTTTTGACCAATTTCAAATTTTGTACGACCATAGTGTTGTGGATGTGCTTTGTTAGTAGTAAGCAGTGTTGTACACCAGCGCCTTAAACCAGCCTTTTAAAGCCCTCCCTCTCAGCAGTATGCACATGCGTGTGCATGAGGTGTGCACCTGTGTGTGTGTGTGTGTGCTGATTTACCTGTTTCAGCCAGTTTGCATTAAAGAAGTGTTAGTGTAATCCAACTAGTGTGCAACATGGTAATGCTAAAGTTGGGTGTTTGTGCGAATGGCATCTGTCACCTCTCCAGTCACCTGTGCCTTCTGGCCTCTGTGTGAGTGTTTTAATGCATCTTATGTGAGTGTGAAGAATGATACTGTGCTTTGCTAATCTGCCTCGTGTCTGTCTAGATTATGCTGATCATTGCAGTAGTGAGGTGTTTGTTTGAGCAAATGTCTGTTTGGCATGCGGTCAAAGCAGTCTTAGCCTACCCTCTATTCACCCATGCTTCTGTGTGCTTCTGTGTGATGCGCTTGTGCGCCTGTTGGCAGGGATGTCGGTGAGTGCTATCAAGGACGGCACAGGCATTCTGGTCCGGAGCGTGGTCCAGGGGGGCTCTGTTTGCCAGGATGGCAGGCTGGGGGTGGGGGATATCATCTTGGCCATAAATGGAGAACCTGCCTCAAATCTGACCAGCGCCCAGGCCAGGGCCATGCTCCGCAGACACTCTGTCATAGGGCCAGAGATGAGGTGAGAAGCATCTTTTGCCTACACTATTGGACAGATCTGTGCAGAGTAAAGCCATCTGTTTAGAAAAGATAAGACAAAAAAAAAAATCACAAGTCGGAAAATATTCTGAAAATCTCCAATATTTTATTTAAAAAAAAACAAATGTATCCTTTCACTGGGCCTACCTGTGTACATCTAAGGTATACCAAATCACTTTTTGCTCTGCATTTATGTTTGTCTTTTTTTAATGCTTGTTTTGACTAGGACATCAAATGGTCAGAATTATTTAATGATATTAGAGATTCATGAAAACAAACAGTATTAATACTTTTTAAAAATGGTCTTACAACCATTATATTTCCATATGTAAGGTAAGTTAAGCTCTCTTCGGATTGAAGTTATGTTTTTTTTTTAGTGTTTTTGAAGGGGGGTATTTAGTACTCTACATATGATTAGATAGTAGCTACAAAAACATTTGTCAGTGTGTTTGATTCAGGAATTATAGCACAAAACTGAGCAAATGTTCTCCCTCCAGTAAATCCATCTGATGCGTTGAGCTGCACTGTAAGTGTGGAATTGAAAAGCAACTGTACTGGAGCTCCAAAAATGTGCACACTGCTGTTGACATTTAGGGCTTTTGATATTGAACTGAGACCATGACAAATTGTTTCCAAACCTTTTTAGGTCTTAGTGTCACATGAATCCGGTACAATTCAATTTAAAATGAAGTTCAATAAAAAACAAAACAAAAAAAACAACAACTTTGTAATAGAAAAGTGTAAAAGTGTAAAATTAAGGTGCTGCAATGGGCTAGCAAGACTTAAGAACTAAACCTGGCATAAAGTCTGAAGAGGGTTGTGAACAATAGATGTACTCGCAATCTAAAGATTTTCAAAGGTAGTTTGAACAAATGTTATCTTACCTTTTCATATTTATATTGAATATTATAGATGAAATGTCTAAAAAAGGTAAAAAAAAAGTTATAAAACAATTATGGTCTTATATTTTTACCTCTAGAAGTTGGTTAAAATAACAACAACAAAAAATCTTTGATATCCCAATATTTTTGAATACAAACGTTTCTTACCGTATATTATATTTTAGACGATCAGGCATATTAGGCTAATTCTTTCATAAGAATTTCTTCTAAATTCTCCAAACTGAGATCCATCAAACTTCTGTCTGCATCAAGTGAAACTCTTTTTAATGTTACACAACCTAACAAGGAATAAAAATGAAACATCCTTTTGAGCCCTCACAAATGTTTGAAAATAAAAAATTAATCAGGTCAAAACAACTATTAACCCATTTATCTCAGAGTTACTGGCACCACTTAGTGATTTTTGGACATTCTGTGTGGAGACACATCCAAAGTGGTCTGCAGCCAGTTATCTATTGTCATAAATCAAACATGTTTAAAGGAATTAAAAGTTTTAAGGGAACAAAAGCACATTGAGCAAATGGCTTTACAAGCTCTGCAATTTGAATGAGAACTTAAAGTAATTGTATAATTGTCTTGATTATGTACAGAATGAATTACTGCATCATTATAGGCAAATAATCAATTTCAGTTTGTCTGTTTCTGCAGTCATATCTCACTGAGGCACTACAGTCATGTTCGGTTTAAATTCTGAAATTTTTTAAGATTGCTGGACGAAAAAATCTGGCTGCATTATCACTTGTTCCAACATCAGCAATTATGGCTCCACATTGAGAAAGCTTGTTTGGTTGATTGGGGATGTGCTCCACCTTTAATATCCCTCTGCCCTGCTAAACACCCACTCACATTCTCACTATGTGTCTCTTCTGTCTTGTGCTTTTAAAGATACACACTCTGCACTCACAAGCAGTCACCCCCACACATACACACGCTCGGGCATGTGGACACATACACACAAAGGCATTTAGTGTCCTAACCTCCAAAATCGCATTTTTTTTCCTGCTATGGGAAATATTTCTGAATAATTCATCACTCATCTCACCTTGAACAGTGTACTTCTGAACAAAGGAGTGTTTTAAAGAGTCTCTCATAGATGTACTGCACACTGAATACACACGTTGATGAACACAGGTGTGTTTTTTCCCTTTTCTTCCTCCACATACTCACACAACACTCAAGTCCACACAAACATGCTCTCTGTGCCTCCTTCTGACAGCACTTCAGACAATCTAAAAGCAAGTGGAGGCAGCTGAGTTGCTTTGGCAGCCACGGAGTGAGGAATGCAAAAGGATGAGTCCTTGTCACTATCAAACTGCGTCTTTTGAGACAAGACAAGCTGTCCACATGATTCAGTCACAACAACTTCACATGAAAATGTATGGATTCAAAACACCTTCCTAATTTAAAGGACTCTAAGAATTAAACTTAACTTTAGCATCTTGTTCTTTGAGTTGTCTAATACTAATGTTTGATAGCAGAAGAGAACAATAAGCTGCAAGGAAGATATTTTGTTGATACAATGACTTAAATATAGTCATGTTTATCATTCTAAAAACAAAAAAACCTCTCTTTGTGCAGAAATGCACCTTTAAGAGAAACATTTCTTTAGGAAGATGGTAAAATTAGACTGAGAAAAACAAATTTTCCATTACAATGCCTTGTAAAAGCATTTCTTGACCTTGAACATTTTCACACAATGTCATGTTACAGACTGTAGCTTTAATGTAAATAAGTACTTCAATTCAATTCAGTGTATTTATATAGCACCAATTCACAACACGTGTAATCTCAAGGCCCTTTACAGAGACAATTCAACCAGATCATACAGTCAGATTGGTTAAACGTTTTCTGTCTAAGGAAAACCAGTTTATTGCATCGACTAATTAACTCGAAGGCAATCCCTCACACCAGGCATGGTTGTAGCGAAAGTGGAGAGGAAAACTCCCTTTAACAGGAAGAATCCTCCAGCAGTACCAGGCTCAGTGTAAGCGGCCATCTGCCGAGGCTGACAAGGGTTTAAGGAGACAGAATATATATATAAAAAATAAATAAATAAATAAATATATATATATATATATATATATATATATATATATATATATATATATATATATATATATATATATATATATATATATATATATATATATATATTATACAAAATCAATAAATGCAGAGATGGTTTGTAATCAGAACCATTTACTGTATTTACTGTACATGCAGTCCAGCCTGGGAAATTGCTTTTCGAGGCTACATGTTAAGTAGAATGAATAGAGCTTACCTTTCAATGATTTGATCTAGTTCAAATCCCTTGTTCTTTGAAGCTGAAGGCCTTAGATGTTTTTTAGACGTTTTGTCAACAAACATAATTTTGAAGATAAAGGAACAGAGCAGAGAAAGTTAAATGCAAAGAGACTAAATGCAGGTTTGAACCATCAGACTGATCAAACAGATTTATTGCAGAACTCTAAATCCATGACAATATTGACAACATGACAATATTGCTGTCCATCTAAAATGACAGACAGGGCGAGGATTAATTAGAAAATATTTTAAAGGTGTATGCTCGCTCTGGAGGATCTTTACAGATGCTTTTGCTACTGAAGAAGACTGGCTCTGTTTAGAGGACTCCTTTCAAACCTCCGGAGATGATTATGTTTCATATCTCTGTCCAAAAAACATGACTGTTAGGTTCGGTCAATTATGTCTTCTCAAACAGTCCTTGGGTATGAAATTGTGCATGTGCTTTGTTGTTCTCCCTGCGTGTTGTCATGTAATGGACTGGAGACCTGTCCAGGGTGCAACCTGTCTCCCAATGAATGCTGGGAAAATTCAATAAGCCACCTGTGACGCTGCAGCGATGCATGGTTACAGATAATGAATGGATGGCGTTTGGTTCCCTTTTAAAATATTTGACATGAAATACAAGCAAAATACATTATATAAAGTGTGGAAAAAGTATAAGAATGTTTAAAATGAAATATCAATATTTTCTTGAGGACAATTATTGCATACGGTGCAGAGGCTCTTGTGAATTTTAGGATTTACAGGTATTTTAAGTGACAAATTTAGTCAGATCATTCCTTTATTTTCATTATTGTTAAATTAATGTGACTCCTTTTGAAGTGTTTTGAGGATGTATCACACAAATATTCATGTTTCTTTACCTTTACAAAACAATTGTTATGTTTGGAGAAATAAAAACACAGACTTGTTCTGTTATCCTGCCCAAATGGAAACATCAGAACATTGCTCGTTTTCAGAGACGCTGCATCTGTCAGAAAAGTTAGAACCTTGCAACTGAATGCTAATCAGAGCACGTCTGACACAGCATGCCATTTAGCTTTCAGTACAGACCTGTAATTAAATCTCAAACTGACAACTGAAATGCTGTTGCTAGTGCCTTTCTTAGTATGCACAGTAAAAACACCTTTGGACGGTCCAGTAAATGGCAGTCTTTTGGACATTTTTATTAAATGTTCAGACAGTACTTGGTAAACTTTTTTGCCTACTTTTATTATACAACCTCAACATTCAATGTATTTTAATAGGATGAGACCAACACCAAGGGGCACATAACTGCGAAGTAAAAAGCTTAATGACACCTACTCCTTAATAAAGCTACAAGAAAACTTTCTTCAAATTTTTCATATTCCATGTAGTGGTTAGCAAACAGTGTGAAGCTACTCTGGTCAAATGAGACCAAAACAGACTGTCTTTGGTCAACATCTTGTTTTTATTTTTATTTTGGCTCCACAAAACTACTACTGTACTGCACATCACTCTGAACACATCACCCTCAGGGTGAAACATGCTAAGTGCAGCATCACGTTGTGGGTATGCTTTCCTTTGCTAGTCAGAGGGTAAGCCATCAGATAAATGGAAAGAAGGATGGAGCTATATATAGGGTTATCCTGCAATAAAACCTATTGGAGGCCATAAAAGACTGTAAACTGAGATGGAAATGTATTTATACCTGAACCACAAATGCATTGAAATGTGTGGTAGCAAAATGTCCTATCAAAAACTATTGAAGAGCATGAATACTTCCACAAGGCCCAGTATTTTAAATGAAAAATGTTCCAAAGAACATCAACTGAAACTGCTACCTTATGAGTCTATATCTGTCTAGACTGTTAATATGAAACCTTACAGCAGTATGGGGAAAAAAGTTAAAACCTAACAGTGCATGAGCGTCCTTCTCTTTGGTCAAACACCATGTAAAAATGCATTATAATTTTGAGAAATCAAACCAACACTAAAAAAACACTTTGGTTTATATACACTTTAGTCTCACACATGTACAGAATCAGATTGTTGTGTATTAAAAGCACCTAACCACTGAACAAATTTGTTCAGCTGTGTCAGCGAATAATTTTTTTTATTTTGGAAATAAGGGGAGATCTAGTGAGATTTTGAAGTGATATGTATCCACTAGTGCAAAGGATAACTATCAAAAAGCACCATTTGTTCAGATTATTGTAAAAATTAAAAACAATCATGAAGATATAATAGAAATAATAATGACAGAAATAAATCACATTTAAAATAATAATAAAAATATTTGATTTTATCCATCTTAAATCTCAAAAGTTGACCTTGCTCAAAGAGCCAGAGTAGGAGTGGGTTTTGATCTCACAACCTCAAGGTTCTCAGCCCTGTGCCCTAACCACTAGGGCACCATTCCCCAGTTAGGAGATAAGGAAAAAACTTTATATTTAAATGTAATAAATATGTAAAATGTAAAAAATATGTCATAGCAATTTTTTTATTTATTTGTTTTTTATTAAGATTGTCATCAGTCAGGTTAATTAAAAGATATATTGATTTATTTGTGGAATTACTTTTTTTAACCAAAGTACCATTGAGATGACTAAGATAAAAAATCTCAACCCTGGTTTCAGGATAACCCACGTTCCAGCTCATCAGGTGGATGAGTACCGAACACGTTTATGTTTGCCCCCTCTGGCATCCATCTCAACAGGCAGTCCATCTTCTTCGCCCACCCTTCCTGCTTCGTCTCCTGAGCCTGCGTCAGGCCCAGTCAGATCCTTCAGTCCCACGGCTTCATCAGCGCTCAGATTGTCTTCCATCGTCAAATATAAAACAACAGCTCCGGATCTACCTGCAGTCAGGGCCACGGCTTCATTCAAAGCTTTTAAAGACGCTGCACTAGTCCCCGTCATCACCCCAGCGTCAGACTCAAGGTAATGTAAGACAGAGAGAGATCCCAGCTTTTTAATTATGGCCAGCCAATCCCTCCTAAAGCTCCAGAGTACAGAGCCAGAAGAATTTCATATACTCAGGATTACACTCCTTCATTCACCATTAACTACCTAGACACCTGGTAGCTTATTTGGTAGCTTTTACATTTTTATTTCATTTTTTTTTTATCCACGCAGGATTTAAATAAATAAAAGTGCAACTGAGCACATGGGTTTCTTCTGCATAGGATTAATATTATTTCTGTTTTCTTGTTTTTTTTTTTTTTTTTTTTCACTTGGAAAGGTATTACAATATGTGTACATTAGGGATGTCCTGATCTGGGCTCAGACATTTGGTTTGAGTCCTGATAAACGGATTTTTTAATCAGGTATTTTGTACAAACAGATATGCAGCCAAAGCCTTAGCGTTAATTATAATCCTGTTGTATAATATTGCTATCGCTTGCCTAAAATATGTTATTATAAATCTCCAATGTGAGATTTATAGGTGCGTAAAGGTGAGACAACAAAGAGTCCCATAAATTGGCACTTTTTAATCAGGTTTATTTTCAGTTTCATTTAACAGGTATGTTATTAGACCCTGATGGCTAAAGAGAAATTTAATATAGAGGCTTTCTTGCTGTAAGGCGATGATGCAGACTAAACCGTTCTGTTGTGTTCTGTGGTACAGCAATTTGAGATGTTGCTCTAAAAAATAAATATGAAGGCATTAGTTGTTATACAGTATACTTCATGAATTGTACAATATCAAACATCTTGTATTCCACGTGATTCTTACAATAGGAGCATTAATCTTAACATCACCACTGACAAATTGACTCAATGCAGCTGCATCACCACAGATATAGAGTTATGTTTATGACTATTTATTATTTGAATTGGCCAATATCCGACACTTGGACTAACTGTATAGAAGAGAAAATGTTGCTGCTGGATGTACCCAGCTTGGTGTTCCAGTCTGCGCTCTCCATTCTTCTCTCTGTGTTGAATCCCTGAGTTATATTTAGCTTTTTACTTATGGATCTCAGAGCTGACTGTCAGCAGAAATGAAATGTTTCACTTCAGTCTGTTTCTGTTTTCACTTTTCTCCTCCCTCTCTTCTTCTCTTCCTCTGCAATATTTTCTTCATTCCTATCTATTAATCTCGTTTGTCTGCTTTTTTCTGTTATGTGCCTGCATCTGTTTTTCATCTCACCCTGAGTCATCTGGGTTTGCTTCCTCATTGTGTCTCTCCTCCCAGTCTGGTTCCCGTCGAGTTCTCCCCGCCGCCTTTTTTCAGTCCAGCTAGAATCATTTGTTCTGCTCTCTTCTGAGCATTAACTGGCAACTGCCTCCTGCTGTGCAGATAGCACTCCTATCACTCACCCCTGGGCTTATTACAACTGTGCACCGTTAAACATATTCATGAAAAAAAAATGCCTTTCTCTTAGTCTTTCTCCCACACTTACACTTGCACGGTGCATTCACTGTCAACAGAGATACTGTATGCATTACACGCACCCACGCACCTTAAGACACAGCCCTGTTGTAATTGGGAGAAAATAAATATTTTCAGGGCTTTTTGCACATTAATCAGTGTGTTTTCTTAAAATTCAACAATATAATTCACTATCAACCTTCATGACTTAAAAAAATAGTAAATAGGGTTAGCTGCCCCCTTCCCACACTGGGGGTCTGGGGATCTTCTCCTGGGTCTGTGGGCCTGTTTCCCCAAGGGGAAATGGTCCCTAGACCTGGGAAAAATGTGTATGTATGAGGAGTGTAAGAATATGTTTAGTGTCTGCCCCTATATGGATCTCCGTTTATATATGTCTGTATGATTGTAAAGGTGGGATAGTGTGAATTTGTCTGGATGAATGTGAATTTGTCTTTGTCTGCTTGTAAAGTTGAGCATTTGCCTCCCCCCACTTACTGGAGCATCACAGGTCCCAAGTATGAGTAGGGCCTGTTTCCTCCCTCTTCTTATGCTCCTTGCTGATGATAGGTGCCCTTGTCTGCTTGCGCACAAATGGTGCTTGAGGTGCGGGGTTGGGTACTTCATTGGGCACTGTCTCAGTCCTAGTGGATGCTGGGCCAGGCGCAGAGCTCCTTGTTCATATGAGCTCATTGCTGCAGCCCTCTAGGACCTCTGGGGTCGACCCCACAAGGACTGGGACCTCTTGGGGTTTGGCTATGGGTGCCCTCGTCTGCCCTTTTCTGACTTAGAAAAGTTTTACTGTCATTTTTGAAATTACGTTTTGTACACCTTTTCCATTTTGATGGTGGGCCCTGAAGGGCGAGTCGGAGGCCACCCACACCTGCTAATAAGCAGTGTTAAGGTATCCATGTTAATATTAGTATAACTGTTTGAAAATGTACTTGTATGAACACTGCATCTCAAATTTTACATAATTGTAAAATTTCTTGGGTAGTGTCCTGCAACATAGATGTTGCAGTAGCAGTCCTGGTATTGGGTCTTTTATCTGACCTGGTATAGGTTTTAAGTATGAAGCCTTGAGGGCGAGACTCTAAAAGACAGAGAAAGAAAGAGAAAGAGTAAATCAGTGATGTACAGTAAAACAAGGAACTTTACTTGGTTCTTTATTTCACTATTTTCCGAGAACAATTCTTATGACATAGTTGTTGTATTGATTGAAAACTTGCTTCTTTCTCTATCAATGGTACCAATTTTGTTTAGAAAAATGTTTAGCAGTAAAGTTGAGTAAGCAGTTTATCAGTGATTTCATTTTCTTTTTTTAGTTTAAACTGGACTTTTTTCTTTTTTTTACTTGCTTACTCCAAACAATGACTGCAACTTATTGCTAAAAAATATGTTATAGGGGCTCAACTGGAGGGCTGTCAAACCCCAGCTCTTAAGGGCTTGATTTATGTAACTTTCAGATGCGTACCTGTTCCAACACATCTGAAACAATTACAATAATTCCCTTCTCATGTATACAAGTTCCACCCTTTCACTCAGGGGTGTTGGTCCAGAAACTCAACTAAAGGTTACAGGCAAAAGGCTCTCAAGGGCTCAGTCAATACCTCAAACTGGTAAAGACGCTTGTGGACGTGTGTCATGGTGGACGTTCGTCATCAATGGCCATTATAAATCTGAATAGTGCTAGCAGTGAACAAAGGAACTAGGAAGAGGAGGCAGTAAACCTCCTATTGCCAATTCAGTTATTAAGGGGCCTCCTTATATTGTTACAGTAGCTACCACCAGGTGCTATGGGGTTACACACAATCCCTTGCTTGACAGGATGCATATAGTGGGCAAAACCCACCAGTCATGCCAAGGACTTCCTTTCCGAATCAGTGGCTACTCAGTTCAATTCAATTTATTTATATGGCATCAATTCACAACATGTCATCTCTAGGCAATTTACAGTGACAACTTAATTAGATCTTAATGTCAGATTAGTTCAAAGTTTTCTAAGGAAAACCAGTTGGTTGCATTGAAACATTGACTCAACAGCAATTCCTCAGAATCCCTCGCCCTGTCCACAACTCCATTTGCATGTGCCCACAGACATATAAAGCATATAAAACATGGATATAAAACACCCCACAGTGAGTGAGGACATGTTTCCCACTCAAGCAGCACATCCAGCATCAAACCGTGGTTGGCATGGAGGACGGGTTGTTGCCGCATATGCACTGCAAACATTCAATAAGTAAAGAAACACCTCACCAACAAATATTATTTCACATTGGCTATATAAATTATATTTTTAAATGCACAATTGACTTAACAAGTTATTGCAAAATTTGTCACAAAATAAAGTGAAAGCTGAAAACTCTCAAAAAATGTGGGCTTAATAGAATGTTTCCTTAAGTCTATTAAGGTAGCTTTGATATTATAATTTATTATTCAAGGGTAAAAAGGTTAAACTCAACAGGACAAATTTATTTACCTGTTAATGTTGCAGTGGCCTAGGGGTTAGAGCAGTGCACTTGTGCTCTGAGAAAGATGCTCTGAGGAAGCACCAGGTTCGATCCCCACAGCCTCCTCTATACAGGTGCTGGTCATAAAATTAGAATATCATGAAAAAGTAGATTGATTTCAGTAATTCCATTTAAAAAGTGAAACTTGTATATTATATTCATACATTACATACAAACTCATATATTTCAGATGTTTATTTTGTTTAATTTTGATGATTACAAATAACAACAAATGAAAATCTCAAATTCATCATATCAGAAAATTAGAATATTACTGAAGACCAATAAAAACAAAGGATTTATAGAAATGTTGGCCAACTGAAAAGTATGAACATGAAAAGTATGAGCATGTACAGCACTCAGTATTTAGTTGGGCCTCCTTTGGCCTGTATTACTGCAGCAATGCGGCGTGGCATGGAGTCGATCAGTCTGTGGCACTGCTCAGGTGTTATGATAGCCCAGGTTGCTCTAATAGTGGCTTTTAGCTCTTCTGAATTGTTGGGTCTGGTGTATTGCATCTTCTTCTTCACAATACCCCATAGATTTTCTATGGGGTTAAGGTCAGGAGAGTTTGCTGGCCAATTAAGAACAGGGATACCATGGTCCTTCAACCAGGTACTGGTAGCTTTGGCACTGTGTGCAGGTGCCAAGTCCTGTTGGAAAATGAAATCTGCATCTCCAAAAAGTTGGTCAGCTGCAGGAAGCATGAAGTGCTCTAAAACTTCCTGGTATGTGGCTGCGTTGACCCTGGACCTCAGAAAACACAATGGACCAACACCAGCAGATGACATGGCACCCCAAACCATCACTGACTGTGGAAACTTTACACTGGACTTCAAGCAACGTGGATGAAGTGCCTCTCTTCTTTTCCTCCAGACTCTGGGACCTTGATTTCCAAAGGAAATGCAAAATTTACTTTCATCAGAGAACATGACTTTGGACCACTCACCAGCAGTCCAGTCCTGTTTCTCTTTAGCCCAGGCAAGACGCTTCTGACGCTGTCTGTGGTTCAAGAGTGGCTTGACACAAGGAATGCGACAGCAGAAACCCATGTCTTTCATACGTCTGTGTGTGGTGGTTCTTGAAGCACTCACTCCAGCTGCAGTCCACTCTTTGTGAATCTCCCCCACATTTTTGAATGGGTTTTGTTTCACAATCCTCTCCAGGGTGCGGTTATCTCTCTTGCTTGTACACTTTTTTCGACCACATCTTTTCCTTCCCTTCGCCTCTCTATTAATGTGCTTGGACACTGAGCTCTGTGAACAGCCAGCCTCTTTAGCGATGACCTTTTGTGTCTTGCCCTCCTTGTGCAAGGTGTCGATGGTCGTCTTTTGGACAACTGTCAAGTCAGCAGTCTTCCCCATGATTGTGTAGCCTATAGAACTAGACTGAAAGACCATTTAAAGGCTTTTGCAGGTGGTTTGAGTTAATTAGCTGATTAGAGTGTGGCACCAGGGGCCATCAATTTTGAACCTTTTCACAATATTCTAATTTTCTGATATGATGAATTTGAGATTTTCATTTGTTGTCATTTGTAATCATCAAAATTAAACAAAATAAACATCTGAAATATATGAGTTTGTATGTAATGTATGAATATAATATACAAGTTTCACTTTTTAAATGGAATTACTGAAATCAATCTACTTTTTCATGATATTCTAATTTTATGACCAGCACCTGTAGGTTTTTTAGGGGAGTGGCGGCCTAGAGGTTAGGGCATTGCGCTTGAAACCAGAGGTTCTGAGTTCAAGCACCAATCCCACAGACTGCCACTCTGGATCCCTGAGCAAAGACCCTTGACCTCACACTGCTCCCTGGGCGCTGCACAATGGCAGCCCATTGATCCCCAAGGGGATGGGTTTAAAGCAGAGAGGGAATTTAGTTGCTCTGTACTTGTGACATTGTAATCACAATAAAAAGCCTAAAAAAATAAATAAATAATGCACATAGGATACGGTTCAATAGCTTGTGTTTTCTAGTTTCTTTTAAGCATTCTCTCTCCAGCAGCCGGTGTATCAGGTCAACATTCAGTGTTAGAGCTTGTGGGTGTAGGTACGTATACCCTACAGCACCATCAAGGGGACTCGATATAGCTGTGAGGGTGTTTCACAGCAAGTGTACTGTGTATTGAGAGGGAGAGAGTAGCCACTAACTGGGAAAGGCCCCAACTAAACCATGCAACAGGTTTTTTGGTCACAGGTGTTGCTAATGAGATATCTGATTAGCATCCGAGATACCAGAAGCTCATAAAGAAGGTACTCCGTCACTGAACCCACAAATGCATTTTCCTCACAATAACACTTCAAAGGGAAGTAAGAGTGCCTCAAACTAATCTAAGCTTCATTGCCAAGAAGCGTTAAAAGCTAAAAAAGAAGTCTAACAGAAATAACAAATTTCCTTTTGCTCCTTGTTCCTTGTTTAGCATTAGCCACCAGGCAACTAGAAGTTACTGTAAGTAGGATTGGTCATGTCGTGTCCTTCACTGAGTGAGGACAAGGACATCTTGAAAAAGCCTTTTTAGTTATGAAGTGCAGAATACAGCTACATTGAAGATGTACTGCTGTTGGGTGGCTGAAAAATATCCCTGCTTTACTCTCCCTGCCTTTAGCTTATGTTTGTGGTGAAGTGTCAAGCATTATATTCAGACTCCCCCAACCCCACCAAATCCATTATTAGTCACTGAATACTCTTTTAATTTTCATATCAAAATTATAATCTCTCTGTTTACCATATTAACCAATTAACAGGTATTGGTGTCATAATGAAGGATCTCTTTCACTCATTTTCTGAACTAGTCTGTTGCAAAGCAAAACTGCTCAGCTGATAGAATTAGGGTGACAGCTAATTATCATAGTATTAACAGAGGTAATGCTTGTTGGAACTCATATTGTTCAGAGAATGTCATAATTACTATTTGAAACCTACTAGTTTTCATTTTGAATATCCAATTGACACTTTAGATCACACATCCCTGTCTCTAGACCATCAAGTTCTTACATTTCACTTAAACTCTACAGCAAACATTTATTTTTGTTTTTAAATCTAAATTACACATTTTTCTTCACAAAGCATTAATAGGATTCAATCAATTTAACCTTTTTTCTTTGGTGGTACCTTTTCTTACAGTTGGCAGATTCCAAAATCTCTCCAAATACCTCCAAACATCAATGAGAAGGAAAAAGATGGAGACATTTTAAAGGAGAGGGAAGACAAAATAAAAGAAGACATGAGAGTAAAAAATCCAGAAGTGAAAATAAAAGTTGATGGCAAGGAAGAGGACAATGAAGAACTTTGTTCCCACGCAGCCTGGTCTTGGGATAAACCTAGAAGGTTAGTAATTTGCTGTGGTTGGTAGCACTGACTTGATTTTCTTAAACGCATTCCCATGACATTATTCAAGGCTCTGTGTGTTAGAAAAGGTTTACAGAATACATGAGAGCTAAAATTTTGTTCATAGTCTTGTTAGAACAGCACAGCAGATCTCCCTTGTACTATATTTTTGAGGATTGGAGAAAATAACTGCAACCCCAGCTTGTGTTTATTGCATTTGTGCCACTAGGATAAATCACATAATATACCAAGCACACTAGAAAATCATCTTTTATATGGCCTCCTGTAAAGAACAATGTGTTTTTGTCTCGACTTAATCTCTGGAACATAATCCCCAGTGGTAAGCAGCGGATAGTGGGAAATGGAAATTTGAAAAAAGAGGGATACCAATCAGATTAATTCTGTATTTGCATTTCTTCCAGCGATGTATTGAGTATACCTCTGGTTTCTAGAAGGATTATCAGCCGTTCAGTATCAGTCTCTTGCTTTGTCTTACAGTGTGCAGCTGACTCGAGCACCCAGCCAGTCCCTGGGTATAAGCATTATGGGAGGCAGAGGCATGGGCCGCAGACTGAGCAGTGGAGAGATGATGAGGGGAGTCTTCCTCAAGCACATCAGCCCTGACAGCCCTGCCGCACTTAATGGCACCCTCCGGGTTGGAGACAGGATACTGGAGGTTTGTGTGTGTGTACGACCCTGAAATTTTAACATTTTCAGACAAAAAAGCTGAAAGAAATGGGCTCCTTTGAGTATCCAACAGAGTGCTTTGTGTTTTCAATATCACAAGGTGATATATGCAGTCCAAGCACTGTATGTACAACTGGCTGTTGGTTTATATTGCAGTTTGATATGTGAAAATAATCAAAGCCTGTACATTTCTTGTTGTTATGCAACATAGACATGTGTGATAAAGATATTCCCTTCTTTGTGTTGACTGTTTACCTTTTTAGTTGTTGAACATCACCTTCGATGTGGGAACCCAGGGTTGGAAAAATGCTGAAAAAAATAGTGCTTTTGCTATTGTAATGACTCAGAACAGAGGGACCTAGTATTCAGGGAAGACAGACAGTGGGATAACTTAAACGTTTCTTAAAGCAACTACGGATGGATTGCGGATCGGAAGCAGCAGCAGCTAGGGCGTCCAATGCAGGTAACTCTATTGATAGGAAACACAGGTTCAGAGAAAAATTCCTGATGGGGGATTGTTTGAACATGTGAGCCGGTCAGCTGAAAAGACTCAGCACTTGACACTTCCAGAGGAGGAAGCCTTGAAACACACAGAACTGACAGGAGATCAGATCCGATCAGATGAAGGAGGAAGGCAGGATAATCAACGTTCAATCCACAGAAGAATCCAACAGAATCTGAAGACAGGTCAGGCAAACAGAACAGGGCAGGCAGGCTCAAAGGTCCGAAGACAGAAACGGGTCAGGATCAGACAATCAGAACACTATTAGTAACGCTAGAAAAACTTTCACCAAAGGCTAAAGAATAATCTGGCACTGATGGCTGGGACCAAGCAGTTTAAGAAGAAGCAGGAGTATGTGGATTAGATGGGAGTGATGAGAAACTGGTCAGAGTTTGACAGGAGAATTGAATGAGTGATTAAGCCAGCTATCAGTGCCAAGATCATGACAACTATGGCAAAATGAACTGATAATATTTCCAATTGTAATATATTCATTCAGTTGGATGAAGTCACTATATGCAAAAAAAATATTACAAACATATTCATGTCTTGTTTATAACTTTTTTTGCATTTTACCACAACCGTTTCAAGGGTCATTCAGTTGGATCAACAGTATCATTCTGTGATAATTTGTTTTTCACCAGTGAATGCCTGATATGGGGTGTGAAGAACTTTAAAGGGAAGATAACTACCTGTAAACCTGTTTACAATTTCTGAAATACTTGCTTTTCATCCCTTTTCCTAATTATGACCTAATCTGTGTTGGTCTAATTAATCAAACCCTAATAAAATTGAATGTTTATTGTTTATTGAAACTCTAAACAAAATTTAAGATAGATTCACACTCAAAAACAAGGGTAGCATTGGAAACTGAATTTTTAAAGGTTTATATATATAAATCCATTGTATTAACTTCTGTCAAAACTTTCTCAAGACATCTGTCACACAAGGATATATGTGAAAGCCCCCAGAGGTGGAGGTTTTCCCCAAAGGAATTTTTGGACTATATAATCAGTCTGGCTCATGTGTGCTGTTTTTATATTCATGACCAGCAAGAGAACACATCAGTGCACACCCTGTTGGGCAAGAGCATGTTGTATCAAATCAGCCAGTCTAGTGCCATTCATCAATCAGGAATTACAGGTTGGAAGCACGTAACATTTTCACAGGCATATACGCCAATTTATGTAAATACATATCAAACATGCTAGACAAAAATAGTACGATATTTGTAGGTAAATCATGTGCAAACTTTCTTGGAGTCAACGTACTAGAGAAACTAGTTAGAGCTTCTTGGGATGAAAAGGTGTATAGAAAAGGTTTAAAATGGTGCCCTACTGATGAAGGGCAAGTTCCTCAAGTACTTGAACTGTGGTTGTCATATGGATGTTTTTTCATTCTTTGTAGAGGAATTCTTTGTGTTTAAGTCCAGTTCCCAATTAAACTTAGAGTTTTTGATAATGTAAGTTAATTACTTATCACAAAACGGGCTTAAATTGAAGGAAATTATTATTTCCTCAGGTTTTCTGAAGACATTTTGACACCTATGCAGAATCCTTTAGTCAGAAGACTCATGACTTCTGAAGATGTTTTTAGGTGTCGAAAAAGGTGTCTTGTCCGGTTGCCTCAGATTTAAGCCTGAATTGTAGTTGCTGTAACCTTGATGACTGAGAATTTAAAAAGGCCTGTAAATTACTCCTGTGTTTGTTTTTTTTTTATAAAATACTAATCTAGCTTGTTTGTGTTTTGGCCTTGGCCAAGGTGAGTGGTGTGGACCTGAGAGATGCCAGCCATGAACAGGCAGTAGAAGCCATTCGCAGGACAGGAGACACTGTGGATCTTCTGGTTCAGTCTGGACTACATAGAGCACAGGTACCACTACTCAGAATCATTTAGACATCACTTTGAATAAGTCAATACATAAATTCATAGGTATTACACCAAACCTTGATACAAGCATCAGATAACATTGTTTCTTACACTGGGACACTCCAACAATATATATCTGATTACCTGAATTCATAATGTCAGGTAATGCTAGGTTATGGTAAAATTAGAGGATGTTTTGCTGAGAATTGAATCGAGGCAAGGATTTTATCTGACTACTCTGCTTTTTCTACTGTATTTCTCCCACAGTCTCCCAATGTCATCAGTTGTGAAAGACTATCTCCAACACGGCTGTCCAACTCTCACAATAAGGTAAGGCTGTTCTATCTTTCCAAGCATCTCTTCTCATGCAAAATTATGTGCAAAGCTCAAGAAGAACGGATTAACATTGCAGAGTTATGGGCAGTTTTTGATATCAAATATCAAGCAAGGAATCCGGACTGTTGGTAGATCTAACATATTTTTTAGGGAGTTTCAAAGACCTTGACCTCTCTGTGCATGTGTTGGTTTTATTTGGGTGCTCCAAGTTCCTCCCATAGTTGAGAAATATGGTTGTTTTATTAACCGGGCTGCATAAACTGCCTATAGGTGTGTGTGTGTGTGTGTGTGTGTGTGTTTGGGTGTGTGTGTTTCCTTTGTGACTCTCTGATTAAGCTTGTGTAGATGGAAAAATGAGATTGTGCATGCCTCATTGTAAAACTCGTTTTTTGCACACTCAACTCACAAGTAACACAGGGAAAATGTGCAAAAACAATGAAATAATTTTTATTGCAGTAGAATAATAATAATGGTTTCCTGTCATATCAACATGATGTGACACAAAGGCCAATTTGTTAAATGTGAAATAGAAGGAAAAATCCATTTTGAATAAGGGACGTGAAAATTAACCCTTGTACAGGTCAGGAAAGATACAGAATAATGGCTTCTCATCTAAATGTGTGAAGCTAGAGAAATAATCCTTGCAGTGCTAAAAGCCAGGTTCTTGATTTGTTTGGTATTTCTCTTTAGTGCTATCACAGTAAACATAAATTTTGTACGTTTGCTCATGTTATGCAACTTAATTGCAGTTGTGACTTTTGTTATTTAATCAAACAACTTTTAGACTGTCATTTGTTGTTCTGTAATGACTGACCTAAAAAAAAATACACACACATATATATATATATATATATATATATATATATATATATATATATATATATATATATATATATATATATATATATATATATATATATATATATATATATATATATATATAACAACAACCCAAAAAGAGATTAGATTTTTACACATTTACCAAGGCTGCCAGCATACTATGAGGGTGCAGTGTCCGATGTTTTAGTTTTTTTTTTTATTCCAAAAGTTATAATGAAATTTATGACATTCAAAAATGTCACATCAGGTTTTGCAGGTCTTGCCATAATTCAGAGATGTGACTAGAGCTGTATGTATTAGTGAATGCCAAACCATGCTTTGATGTAAAGCACAATTTAAGACAAGCAAAATTATATCTCTAAACATAATCGTAACACTGCCCTGCAGAGGTAAAAAACAGGAACTGCAGAAAGCCTTGAAACTCATCCGCTTAAATCGAATATCTACTCCCACACAGTAAGTGATGTGTAACTGGGTTTTTTCCCAGCGTATAGTGTGATAAGCACTATACTATGTATAGAGTGATGAGTCATAAACACCTACACAGAAATCCTAAATGATTATTTTTTTGTGTAAGACTTGTGTAGCAATGCGTACAGCTAAGTCTGTGTTTCCCCAACATGATCTTAGGAGACAGGGACTCTCAGCAGTCGGTTCCTTAGTCTATCTCCTGCAAACCCCTTCACTCCCACCCCCTTTAAGGTTGGTACATTGTTTGGTGTTAGTGTGTATGTGTGTCTTTTTCTGCAGCATCTTAAAAGGAACCTTGCATTTGCATCAAACCAAATTGCAAAAAAAAAAAAGTAATTAACGTGCACACATGTAAATAGAACCCCTATAGTTCAAAGTCCCTCACAACTACCTTGTTTGCTAAAAATGCTTTATTTTTCCTTTGATGCAGATGCATAACTCTAAATAGACAGCACATTCTTTTGAAGTTATCTTCCAATGTACTTTTCTTGTACAAAATAATGCATGATTCTTCTGGCCATCTTTCATGTTATTTATAGCTGGCATTAAAAACTTTGTTCATTAATTCATCTTGTTCACCAGCGTTTCCCCCTGCTTTATGAAGCACACGGAACAAGCCTCAGGGGTCATTCAGCTCATGCCTGAAGGCCCCCTAAGGCATCTCCAACTCTGCCTTTTCAATAATGCAAAAACTTTTCCCCAAGGCCCCGTCGCCAACATCCGATAGAATGGATCGAAGAAGCCCCATAAATGTCACAACAGCAGCAAATGCGGCAGCTGAGGACGGAGATGACACCAGCAGGAGTAAGTGTGCATCATAAAGACGTCATGTAAACATAAATAGACATGCTTTCAAAAGCATGTCGGAGTAGTACCTTTAACCTCTTGAATCTCAGGAGAGAACAAGTTCATGCTGATACATTAACTTGCTTTACATCCCTCAAACTTTTTATTGTGGGTTTGCATTTTTGAGATTTTGTATGAAAGACCAACACAAAATAGAAAATACTGAAGTTAAAAAACAAAAAAACAAGGTTTAGATTTAGAAAAAACTTAATTGTTATTTTGTATACACAGAGAGTGAATGAGCAGCAGTTAAACAGTGAAAAAGAAAATTTCCATTTGTGAAGTGCAGCAGTGATAACATGTAAACAGTGTGGGAGAGACATGGTTCAAAAAAGGCACTCAAGTTAAAGGTTCAGAGCAGTGCAATAATAAATAAATAGATATGGTGCAAAATGCATTAGAAACACTGAGCTGAGTTCGTTTTTGAAGATTTACCGTGTAGTGGAAGTATGATGTTGTCAGTCTTAATTTGTGAGTTTATGTAGTTTATCAACAGTTCAACATACTGATGGCAGCGGGGGAAAAGCTGTTACAGAACCTGCTTGTTCTGCATGGAATGCGGCGAAGCCTCTTCCCAGAGGGCAGCAGGGAGAACAGTCCATGGTGGGGGTGGGAGGGGTTTCTGAACATGTAACGAACTCTGGGCAAGCAGCGATGGGATAAAATGTCTTTTTATATTTCTGTTTTTTAATATAAAACATAAAATGTTTTCTTAAACCCTAATTAAAATAGCAGAGTTTAGAGAGTTTACTGGTGTGTAAGTGTTTAAATATATTTGATGAATAACTTACCATGATGAGAATCATGATTTATTATGAAAATGAAAAACTCCAATTCAGCTCCAATTAATTGTTTTAGCAAGTTTAAAAAAAATAACATACTTGAAAATGTTACGTTATTGGTTCAACTGATATCCCATTTGGTCTATAAAAGCATCAAATCATATGAATATATTTGATGATGTGATTGAATGTGAAAAGTTTGCATTTTTTAAGTGCTTATTGTTGCATTAAGTAAACAGAGTACTAAAAACCTTGATCTGATATTCCACTACCTTTTGTTTTCAATCTAATTTATGTTTGTGGTACTGAAATGAATATTTTATTATTATGGAAATATTTGGACAAACAGTTTTGATACTAAATTTCCTGTATTGGATCTCATCCAAATGCAAACATATATAAAGACGACTCTGGAGGAGCTGCACAGATCCGAAACTTAGGATGGAGAATAACTGAAGTTCTTCACAAATCTCTACTTCCTGAAACAGTGATGAGAGATATTGATTATAAAGAAGGCAGCAAGATGTCCTGCTTCAAGTTTGCCTCAAGGCAATGCAAAAAATTAGGGAAATCAGTTATTTGCCAAAAAAAGATCACTGCACATTAGCCAAAACACACTACACCCACCCTTAAACATGATAGCTCTACAAGCTTAATGTTACCTAACATAATCTGAGAAAGTTCAAGGGATAGGGATGCTTTTGTAAGGCTGTACTTTTAAAACTCTTATGCAATAAATTGAAAGGGTTTGGAAGAGAAATTGAAATATTTTTCTTGACATTTACATCTGAAACCAGCTTGCTAGAGCAAGGCTCTGGCTGATTAGTGTTTGCTGCTTTAGTGGAATTCAAATGAATGTTATGACCTGGACCTATCCCAGCAGCTGCCTTGATCCTTCCTTAAATAAAAGGTTGTAACCCCGGCTCACAAGCAGCATTCTAGCAGGCACTGCATTCATGAAGTGGCCTTTGGTTATGAAATATGAGACCTTTTGATTTTTTTTTTTCAATCTAATTAACTAGATTGATGAGGGAGGGAAGAGTATAAAATGTTGCTCATGCTAGCTAGCTTCTACTGTGGACAATACTTTATGTTTCATTTCACTTTACCTTAGTGGTGACTTGATTTTTGTTACAGGGATCCAGTTCATCGTTTGTTTACATAAAATTTTAGAAAAAGGGCTGAAAGCAAAATTATATTAACTTGAAGCACTAGAAAAGTGTATGACTTCTTTTTCCCCCAGTTTTTTCATGTGTCTATAATAAACATACATGCATGTATTATCTTGCTCTTTACTTTTAAATACTGACTTTAAACAGTTAGATAAGTTAACAAGTGTAAGATAGTTTATTGGAAAGAGTAATGTGTATTCCATGCTCCAAAAACAACTATAACTCAGAATCTTATGCATCTTTAGAGACAATAATTCTGACTCACCCTCCAAGCAAAATGTTTGCAAAAGGTTCAAATAGGTTTATCTGTTGTTGCAAAAGCATAATGTATTGACATTTTTGTCAATATTCAACCTTCAAATTAATCAGTTTTATCCAAAATGCCACACATTTTGGAACCCTGGCTTTTAGTAGTTTGTAGAACTTCATTTTGTCAGTAGGATAGAGTTTAGTATTTCCTGATAATGTTTTACAAAGATGGATTACAGAGGGAGGATGCTTGAAACATGCCTTCTTTAGATTATCCAAGCTCCTGACACCACAGCATTGTTCTCCTCTTTTGAGCCAACCCTATAGGTTTAATAAAATATTTAGGTCAGGGGACAGAGAGTAGTAGCATCCATGAAAGTTTGATGTGTGTCTGTCGAACCATTTCTAAAATGATTAAGCCTCATAATCTGGATTGTTATTCTGTTTGAAGACCCAATAACAACTCATTTTCAGTTTGGTCTGTCCGACAGATTTGTATTTATGATCTACTAATATTTCAAGAACATTTAAAGTTCCTATGGCTTCTTTAGAAGTTAAAAACCCTTCAATTCAAGATGCATTGTCATATTTATTAGTTGCCATGTGGGCCTGAGTCATGTCCAATTAGACTTTAGCTACCCCCATTATCTGTATATCCAAAAAGGTTAAAAAATAACAACTGGACATGTTTTCAGAGATTAAGACAATCCTCTCTTTGTCCTAAGAACTTTTTAAGTTTAAAGCTATTGAGGAATAAGTTCTAAAGTTTTAAGAGGGACACTCTTTGCATTTGAATTCATATGCAGACAGTGTGTTCCAGATGTACGTCTATCCTCTGAAGAGAAAGTTTCACCTGAAACAACCCAGATTTATGGAATTCTAGCCAGGAAGTCAGGACATCGACCATACCTGACTTTTCATGCCAGATAGCTGCTGCGAAATTTAACAGCAGTAAAAACATTCTTTGGCGGTTTTAATTAGTTCATCTTCTAACTATAAGTCAGAACTTTAACTCCAGAACTTTGACATTACTTGCTGAAATATATTGTTTGAAAGAATGTTACTTTAAACCTTACCAGTGTATAAAATATTTTTAGTAAATGTTCAGTGTAGTGGCCAATGGCAATGATTTTTTCGCAGGTTTTTATTCCCAGGGCACTTTTATCAAGGTTGATTTTGTTAAAAAAATATATATTTTTTTCCATTGCTTATTAGATTAAAAAGAAGATCCTATGAGAGATTTTTCAATGGTAATAAGTGATTATTTATTTTTAAGGCTTTTTAGATAAGATAACCAGAGAGGCCAATAACTGCAGGCACCTCTTTAATTTATGTAAAAAAAAAAAAACGTTACTTTGAAACTTTAAGATAACCTTGAATTTTAATTGGAAGATCTCCTCTACAGTAAGTAAGCAAAGGTACATGCAGGAACTTAAGAACTACGAATTTTAACTCAAACAAACAAACAAACAAACAGAAAAACATAATTAAGTGATACACTTTAGAAGTACAGCTCCTGTTCGAACAAACACACATGTTGTGCTTCTATGTTTGATTGGGACTTTTCATTGACCTCCATTCATTTCTATGGTCTAACTCACACCCTTACTCCAACTCTAACCATTACCAACATATACCAAACCCCAACCTTTACTAAATTCATACTCTAGACCTCAACCTAACCTCAAACCAATGAAAATAACTTTTCCCCATGGAGACCAGTTGAATGGTCCCCACAAGTACCAGTAAACCTCCACAATGTAGCATTTTTCACTGAAATTGGCCTTTTTGTCGCCCCCACAAAGTAACAAAATAAGTCCGCACACATATACACATGCAAACACAGCACAATTACATTATATTCACGCCGTGTACTGACATCCCTGACATCATCCTCCCAGCGAACAACAAGATATATTCCTTGTAGACAAAGTGCATGAAAATATAAACGCACATGTATACACAGTATCCTCCAGGCTGCACTGGTTCTCCACATGTCTCCAAGTGTCAGTCATTAGACGTAGTTGGCCATATTTTTTGGCTGAGCCATTATATTCTCCTCCTAACAACGATCCTGTTTGTTAACATTGTCTCCCCGGTAGAGAAGATGCTCCAGCGCTATGGCAGCCTGTCAGGAAAGCTTCATCTGATTGAATTGGAGAAGGACCCTGCAGCCCATGGTTTGGGAATTAGACTCGCAGGCAACGACGAGGGCTCCAGGGCGCGAATGAGTGTCTTTGTGGAAGCAATAGACCCCCGAGGCCCCGCTGATTTAGATGGGAGAATACAGGTTGGGGATGAGCTGCTGGAAGTAAGATCCATAGAAATATGACTAACATTTAGCTGAGATTTTCAGTCACATAGGGTGCAATTATTACAAACTAGAAGTGGAGGCTAAAAAAATGCTTATTTGATTTGGAGAGACTGCCTTGTGTAAAGTTTCTGCTTATTTCACAGGTTTAGAGTTATTTAAAGAAGTATTCAGCACTGTTGGAATCTTAAGAAGACAAAAAAAAAGACTTAAAAAAATTAAGATCTCAGTAAAATTTATTATTTTTCCCCCCACCATGATTCACTCTCAGTAGGATCTATTTAGGATATGATGCAATGTTGAATTTTCTGCCCTCACTCAATGTTTTGGATTCGTACCAAAAGGTTCACTTACTGGTCCTTTAGATGCAATCTCTTATGCAAGGCTTTTTGTGTTAAAGGAGAAAAAATCCAAACAAATTTTTGGGACTTTTATTCAGATAAAGTTTTGAAAACCATGCTATATTTTCCTTCCAATTAGTACAACACTTCAATAACGCTACTGCGGAAGTGGTCTGCCACAAAATATCCCAATAGGCTATACTGATGTTTGTGGTGATGAAACGATTCAAAATAAAAGAATAAAAAGCACAAGGGGTATAAATGCTTTTTAGAAACTGCTTCATCAATTTATGCTGTTGAAGCACAAGCTGAAGCCTCTACAATGGCTCTTTTATTATGTAAAGACTTAACTAATGTTCTACAATAACAAATGATGTTTTCAAAAAGAGTATTTGAATTTAATTTTCACAGAATATTAATTAAAAGAACCAGAAATGTGTTTTTAGAGACCATTTTTCTTTTAATTAGCTTCAAAATTATGTTTTTTTTTTTTTCATAAAACAGTAACCAGTGGAAGAAAACCAGTGCTTCATCTTCATGAATCGTTTTTATGATTAACATAAATGCGTTAAGCAATCAGGGGTTTAGCGATTCCCAAAGTTATTGGTAGAGCAGGGACTTGTGGCAGAAACTAATTTAATAAATGACTCCATCTATAGAGTTACTTTCCAATGAAAGTATTGATAGCAATATTGAATTCTCTCACACAATTTGTGAAAAACAGTTTAAAGGGATATATCATTACATCATTTGTCATGTACAGATTATAGTTTATTTCAATATTTAATATACTGCAGTTTCCTTACTTTGTTCAAATGTTGGAAAGGTTGATGGGATGGGGGCATGAAAACCTCCTAGTAAACATATTTTTTTCTTTAGATCAATGGTAAAATCTTGTATGGTAGAAGTCATCAAAATGCCTCAACGATCATCAACAACGCCCCCTCTAAAGTGAAGATCATTCTCATCCGGTAAAAACTTATATGCATCTGCAGGCCAGCTTTAATTGATAAAAGCATAAATCTCATGTGTTTTAATCCAATACTGTTTAAAAAAATGTGTCTCACTTTGGCAGAAATAAAGCAGATCAAATGCCAAAGATAATCAAAAAAGATAGTGAAGACACTGTGGACTCCAAGACAGACGCTGCAGAGGTTGAATCGCCCGGAATTGAGCATATCTTTCTACCTCAGGTACATTACAATCACTACCATTGCTGGCCTTCAAATTTCTCAGCTTTAAACATTGTTATTATCTCTCCAGGATCATGTAGGTCTGGGCCTTTGCCTCAGTGAGGACTACTCCAAAGGAGGAGTGGTTGTCAGCTCACTAATGCAGCACGGCACTGCCATTAAGGTGCGGCTTCATGTCACTTACTGTCACCAAATAAGTAAAAGGATTTTTAATGAATAGATCAAATATACTAATTTAGGTAGCAACACCTATTTGTGTCAATTTATTCCAAAAAAACACTCTAAAGTTTAACTTCACCCATTTTTCACCTGTGCCTATAATTCAAGGGTATTAAATGTCGCTTTGTAAAAGCAAAAAGGAAATATTTATAGCTATTAATATTAAAAAGCTAAATGCAGAGCATATAAGTATAATTACCTTCTAAAAATCCGATGTCCGATGGTTTTCAAAGCCAGCCGTATCTCCAGAATAAGCAGCTTGGTTTAAAGGAAAGCAGCCTGATAGCTGAAGGCTCTACTTCCCATTCTACTCAGTCACTCCAGGATTCAGAAATAACCCTGCTGACTGAGAGTGAAACACTCTGCTGGATATTTGTCAGAAAGAGCTTTACTTATAACGGCAAAGGATTTAAAATACAACATGCAACCTGAATTTGACGGGGAGTTTCTGAGCAGAGCTCTAATGCACCAGAAGGCAACATATTTTACTTTGGTAAAAGAAGGCTGTTCCCTTTAATGTGCTGTAAAAACAAGGTCGAATTGCGTGAACTTTTTTTCTATTTTAATTTCAAATTACCTGTCTTAGAATTAATGTTATTCCCTTCAAAATCAGATTTAGATTAGACTCCCTTTCTGTCTGTGGCTGTTAACTGTCAGCTCACAGAGATGAAAGAAACCTTCACTCACTGATCAGACTGAGGCAAACCGGGGGATTAGGTTCAAACTGACATATGGAGGATTGAGAACAAAAAACAAATTGCAATTATTGTTAAGAATTATTTTAGGTTGCTTTACTATCTTATAAAGGTACTATGTGTCTCAGATGTGCATGAGCATGAGGTAAATAAAGTGACTTCCAGGCTGAAATTGCATGAAATGTTGACTTAGAGATGAAAAATAAGAATGCATGTCACAGTTTGAAAAGTATATCCATAAAAAGCTTTGTAAAAAAATTTTGATTTTCTTTTCTTTTTTACAAATATATACTTGTTCTGTCATATATATCATTAAAATGCATTTATGTGGATATTTGGATGTATCAAAAAGCAAAGGCGGCAAAAAAGTAGAAATTATTTTTGAAAACACTGCATTCTTTCCTGATAATGTCACTAAAATTGTGTTAAATATGTCTAAGGTTTGGAAAGAAAATCTAAAAAATACTTTTTTATATTTAGATATTTTATCAGCATTGTGTTCATTTCTTGAGGAGGTTCCAAAAATGTTTCAGTTGCACGTTATTTCATCAGGTTTTATAATTCATCAGGCTTTTTTAATTCGACCGGCAATACCTCATTCATCAAAATTGAAATTTGCTAATAAAAAGCAATACATTTAGTAATCAGATTTTTTTTAATTTCATTGTTGTTGTGTTTGAGGAAATATTCTTTTAAAATAAAAATCTAATGCTTCACGCAGTAAAATAATGACACGTCATTGCCCCTAGCAATTATGCAGATACTTGTCTGCAGGGTTTTAATTTCTTTAATGTCTCATTCTTACTTACATTCTCTCTATCTTACATTTTCTCTGCACTGTTGTTTGTAGGATGGCAGGATTCAAGTTGGAGACAGAATCCTAGCAGTGGGTGATGAACCTGTAGCTGGACTCTCAGTGGAAAAGGTTCAGAAAAACACACTCTAATAAAAATTCTGCACCATAGGCTATCTGCAAGGTCAAGCTGATTTAATGATTCATGACTCTTTTGTCCTCTTTGTCTTCAGGTGTCCAGTTTGATTCTCAAACACCAGGTCACTGTCAAACTCTCCATCAGCCGTTCCAAGGCTCCTTTCTCCTCTCCCCCACCGCTCCTTTCATCACTTCCCCAACCCCCCCACCATCCTGCTCCTTCATCTGAACCTCTTCAGGTCTCTGCGTGTTCGTCTACACCTCTGGTTAGAACTCAAACCTCTCCAGCAGAGGGCTCTTATTGGTCAGGCTCAACTCCTTCAACCTCTGACCCTCAGAGCTGCCCAGTTGTAGCTGGAAGGTTAACCACCATAGAAATTTGTAAAGGAAATTTAGGCCTGGGCCTCAGCATTGTGGGAGGATGCGACACCCTCCTGGTGAGAAATGCAGAAGTTTTATAACTATGTCAAACATTTTGGTAGAAAGGATTGTGTAATCATATTTATATTCATCCTTGATTAGAGAAAATAATAAAGCCTTGCAGCAGCAAATTAGGCTCTGATTGTGCACATATTTCTTTGCTGTCTGTAATAATGAGAGATGTTGGGTTTTTTTTTGTTTTTTTTTACACCAGGGGGCAGTAATAATCCATGAAGTGAATGATGGTGGAGCAGCGCAAAGAGATGGACGGCTCCAGGCTGGAGACCAAATATTAGAGGTATGAGAGGTCCATGCATACAAACACACACTGAATACACACAGCTCTTCTGTTACAGCAGTGCTATCATTAATACAACAGACCAACATAGATTAGTGTACAACATTTAAGTGAAAGGAAAATCACACTGTGTCCCAAATTGTTGACAAAAAATATCTAAAAAAGTGTGGCATGGAAATGAATTCAGCCCCTCTGTTGTGAGAACATTTAATAAACCAGAGGATCCAAGAGTTCACTAAATCCGAGAATAGATATTGCATTTTGATTTGATGTTTAATTACTTCAGGTAATTCAATCTTACTTAGATGAAAGCCTGATAGGTTTTATAGAACATAAACCAACATCACAGTTCATGTAGGGTTAAATTGTAAAACATTGAGTTCAGCTTGAACTTTGTTGGTCTACATTAAAAAAAACTGTGTGGTGATGAATTAATCCCCCCACATTTCTCTCTAAGACAGCTTTCCCTTGTTGAAATGTGGTGCTTTTGTGGTATCATGCTGTTTGGGGTGCACATATCCAACAGTGACAGGGAAATGATGTGAAAGGCTTAGATCAAAGCATATTGATATGCTGGTTTAGTCAATGTCCAGGCTGTCTTACAATCAGAAATGCCCAGCATTGCTTAAAAATGGATAAGCACTGGTGCTTTCAATTTAATACTAATGTGATTTACATATTTTCTAAAAAATCAGATGTAATTGTAGCAAAAATGGTTCCTCAAATATATTGTAACAGTGAGTTACAAGCATATGAAACACTACAGATTTTTTTTTTTTTATTAGCAGCCTACTTTAGATTACCACCAATTATTACAATTTGTGAAAAAAACCCTGATATTTTTAACCCTTCAGGTAAATGACATAGACCTGCGACAGGCCACACATGACGAGGCGATTGCAGTGCTGCGGCTCACCACCCAGCGAGTTCGGCTAAGTGTCTTTAGGCACCAGGAGGCCTACCGGGAGGAGGACCTATGGGACGTCTTCAATCTAGTTCTTACTCCCTGTCCTGGAGAAGGCCTAGGATTCACCACCGTGGGGAAAAGGTAGAAAATGAAGGTGGAAATTGTTTGTTTTGACTAATGTTTGATTTTACTAAGCCATTTGGAGTCCCCTATGACTACACTTATATAGATTAAAGTGTACTTCGGACCACTAGATGGTGACAGAGCACAATAAGTTTGATAGGCTGCAGTTGGCTTGGAGATAGATTTGCTCCAGTTTTAGGTTTCAGCAATTTAAAGCGCTATTTCCTGTGAGGAATTTGGTCACTTGGATGTACCTGGGCCATGGCTAGCTGTGAATAAAAAATTATGTGAATTAATATTTTGTTTAAGATATTACTGCTGCTCGATGCAGAGAGTGTATGTGAAACTGAACTGACTGTTCACGCAAGGTTTTTTTGGAGGATCACACCCACGCCGATTCTGACCTTTATATCTGTTCTCTGTTCCAATTGCTATTTTAATAGTAGCTTGGTCTAACATAAAGCTCACTGACTGTTCTTTCTTTTGACGATATGACAATGAATGAAACCAGTGTTCCTTGGATAATGACTTGCCAGCTGCCTGTGTAGAGACGGATAGTTTTGTCATCAGCAAATAAAATTGTAATTTATATTGGATAGTGAAATAATATATATTGTAAACTAATAAAACAGACAATTGCTTCTAAGTAAAAACAAACGTGGTCATTTAGTGAAAAACTCAGAACAGAGAAGCCTAAATTCAAAGCCACAGGAGTCCAGCAGGAGTTCGAAGACAGATCAGTCAAACAAACCCGAACCAGGAACAGGCAGGCCCTGAGGTCTGAAGACAAAATGGGTCAGGATCAGGCAATCAGAACAACAAAATGCTACGTTAGAGAACTGTCATGAAAGGCTTGAATAATCTGGCAGTAATCTGGCACAGCAAGCAGTTTAAATAGAGACTAGAGCAGGTGGCACAGATGAACGGTGATGAGAAACTGGGCGGAGCTAGACAGGTGAATGGTATGAACCATTAAGCTGGTCCTCAAGACCATGATAGGTTTGGATAACAGCTGACTAATTGCACAAGACTCATTCATTAAGACTGTAGCTCTTGTTAAATGTGTTTGTACCTGAGGGAAGATCAGAAATAGGATAAAAATTGTGAACATGACATTTTCTCCTCAGTCACATGTACAAATTATCTAAGAATTAATTTGTTCTTACTAACGCTTCTTGAATGAGGCCCAATGCCTCCAAACAATGTAATTGACAAAAAAGAATACTGAAAAAAGTGTAGGGTATTTATAGTGCATGATCTAACATTGGTAATCATATTATTAGCATCCACTATATCGAATAAATCATTCTCAATTCATTCTCAATGCAGCATTTGTGTTATCATGTCAAAAAGAAAAACAAAAGAAAAACAAGATGTACCTTTTCCCTGTTAACATGTCTTAAGTAAAAGAGTTGTTTTATTTGTGATGGTTTTTTCTTTAGAAATGGAAAATGTTTTGCAGTGTCCTGGATGCAAGAGTTGCTGCAAGGTGACTTTGATTTGGCCATGAAGTGCAGAAAATACACAAAAAATAAAGTTAGAAAGAGAGTTTGTTAATATTGCAGAGAAGAGGAACACTTGCCAATATTCTGTCAGAGGGTCAAAGTGAAGGTTAATCAAATATTCAATAAAGCAGGTTTTTTTCTATCTCTTTCCTGTGAGGGACACTCAAAGCAAATTATTACCCGGCATTTTAAAACATCAGACTTTGCAGCACAGTTTCACTAAAGCTGTTTTGATGTTGGTTCAAAATGGTCAGTGGTTAAAAGAAATGTTTGTGATTTCTTTTTTTTTTTTTTTAAGGAGCATGTTCCGTGTGTCTCTTTGTTTTAAAAATGCATTAACCGATTTATGATTTTTCTGTTATAAAACAACGGTTATTAAAATCTGCTAATAAGGGTTAAAGGTCTTTAATACAGCTGGTAACTAAATTCACATCAAAGTTATTGATATTTGATGAGATCAGTCTAGATCTAAAACAGGTTTTTGTGATGGAAAATTGTGAAAAAGGCAACAAAAGTTTAACAACTTTAGTTTTTCCCAATCTTAGGGATCTTAATAAATCTCTGTTGTTATTAGGCAGGATGTTTTCTCCAGTTTGACAGCTTTAACGCTCTTATTTCTATGCCAGTCTAATTCTTTGATTTAATGCCAGAAATGTTGCAATTGGGTCAAAAATATATATTTTTTAGCATTAATCTGAAATTAAACATGTGATTTCTCATGTGTTTAATAGATAAAAATAAAAATATAAAAATCTCTCCTTCATTTTTTTCTGTGGGGGCAGGGTTATGCTTTTACATAAAGCCTAACACTTTCAAGAGTAGTTCTTAAACTGTTTTGATAGTCAAACTATTTATCTTTATTTATTTACCAGCAGCATTTGTTTAGATACGCATTAAAACCACAGTAACAAACCAGTCAAACCTGCTTCTGTATTACTCTCTGTGGTCTAAAGACTTTTCTGTAAAAGTTCATCCAGTTTGGTAAAACAAAAAAAAACTTCTTAATTTTCACCAAAACATTTCATTTTGACTCTTTTTGTTCTTTTGAATGTGATATAAAGTAATACATTGAGCTCATTACAGCCCTGCTCCTTTGTAATCAATCCTCAGTATAATTAATAATAAAAAAGAATAACTTTTTTCAATACATGTTAGAAAATAACCCAAACTGAGGGATATATTTATGAAGTTCTTACTTCTTTAATACTCTTTTTGTTTGGGGGGGGGAATTTGGAAAACAATAAAATGCTAAAGGACTCGCTGTTCTAAAAAAAAGTTTAGGGATGCTGTTATCTTTCATAACCAACTTTAATAATAAAGAAAACAGCAGCATCATGGGTCCTACATTGAGATGGAATCTATAGACCTCTTTGACCTCTTATTCCTTCCAACAGCGATGACACGGGCATCTTTGTGTCAGAAATCATCAGAGGAGGCGTTGCAGAATCAGATGGCAGTTTGCTGCTTGGTGATCAGATTCTGTCAATCGATGGGGAGGATGTCCGCGCAGCATCCCAGGAGCATGCACAGAAGCTCCTGCAGGTATCACTCCTTCACCTTTGCTTGCAAATCACAAGAATAAATTAGCTGGGTTTTTTTTTTTTTTTTTGTTACATTTTTTTGTGTTTTTGTCTTTCTCAAACTTAGGAGTGCAATGAAGAAGTCCATTTGGAAGTTGCTCGTTTTAAAGCTGGGCTGCAGTACTCCCAGAGGAGTAAGGTAAAGTATTTGTATTTTTTGATTTACTTGACTAGTGTGGAGGACCAAACCTTATTGAGAACATATATGAATAAACGTTATGGCTTATTGATCATAATGATATACCGCCAAATTAAACAAAATGTCAAAAAGGAACATTTTATAAACTATAGATCAATAAAAGTATTTCTTTCTGGTTTTCTTACTTTACTTTTCCTTTTTAATATTTTGTATTTTCTCTTACATCGTTTCTTGGTTATATGATCTTGAATCATTGAATCATGCAACATATATTGTGAATTGAATTATCTTTTGAATCTTATCTTTGAAAATGCAAAAATGCATGAGGTTTTCAGATGCTGTTCTGACCTGATTTTATTGTAATCCTGACTTTCTTTTCTTAATGGTTTTTTCTGTAGCATGTACTTACTATCAAATGTGAACAGTATTTAAATAATATTATTTTGTGAACCTAGGAATATTTTCAGTTGTGTTTTATCCAGAGCGAGGCCTCTGAATGCTCAACTGTACCTAGCAAATGTGATCCATCTTTTGTCCACCAGAGGGAGACAGTTAGCAGAACAGGGAGCTGCAGTAAGCATTTCTGTTTATTCAGGTCTAACATTTTCTTTTCACCTCTCATTTTAAAATTATTCATTAAAACATTATTCTCTAAACGGTTTCCTTTTTATCTTGTTCTCTTAAATGCTTCAAGAAACTGAGCTCAGAAAAGTAACAATAGAGAAGGTAAGAGGTTTTAAGTTAATTAATGAATGCATTTGACATTGTGTCATAAAACATTTTTTTTTTACTATTTGTTTGCGAAGCTCCAACTTTGAATGACCTACTTATCTCACTAGACTGTGAGTTTACTCATACATTAAACAACAAAGTCTTGCCTGTATGTTTGATATCACCACAGGGTCCATGTGACACCCTTGGTATCAGCTTAGCTGGAGGAGTGGGCAGTCTCCATGGCAACACACCTCTTTTTATTGCTTCTATGGATACCAATGGGCTGGCTGCTAAAACAGAGAAATTAGAGGTGAGCTGTCAGTGTGTATATTTAGGTTTTACTCATTACATGCCGTCTAAGTAACTTGTTAAGGGATCTGGTGTATATCGAGATGCTGTTAGTTGTTCCAAAAGTATTTAACATTCCTTTGTAAAGACAGAAGTTTAAAAAAGAAAACTTGTGAAAGAAAATTAGATTGCTTAGATTACTTAAATTTAAAAAGAACAATGAAAAGTTTTCAGGTTTCAAGAGCTTACTCCTTTTTCTATCCCCACTTATCGAACTGTCTAGATAAATCATTTTCAATTGATTTGTTTCCCATTTTAATTTACATTCTAAAGGTACCTTTCCATAAGATAAATGTATGTGTGGTTGTGATTGTGTGTGTTTGTTACCCAGACAGGAGACAGGATCATCAGCATCAATGATGTGTCTACAGAGGGAATTACTCCTGAGCACGCTGAAGACCTGCTGAAGAACGCAACCGGAACCATCAGTCTGCTGGTACTGTCACACAGCTGTAAATAGATAATGACTTGAGCAATAATGGCAGGATCCCTGGATGTGATGACATCAGCGAGAATTTTCCTCTGCCTGTCAGAAACAGATAGCAAAATCTTACACTGTAGAGCATTTTTAGTTGTGTAGATCTTAACACAGACTTCACTGTGTACTTTAAGAACTCCTAAATCCTTTTCAACCAGATAGAGGGCTCAAATGTGCAATCTTGGAATAGATTTGGCTGCCCGTTGCACTATTAAATCATTGTTATACATTACAGTAGCTATTTGAAGGAGTCTTTTATACTTTTGGGGAAATTATATGAACTAAAACTTACATAGCATGTGACTGCTGAAAGTGGTTGTTTGATTTTTGTTCAGTCTTAATCAGGTAGAGATTCTGATTGATTCTGGTTTTCTTTCACACTAGATCCAATTTACCAGTCAGATTGCTTTAGAAGCATTTTTTGCTGAAAGTAATGCAGCAATTCTTTTCATATGTTCCTTCATGATACCAAAATCCTTGTCAATTATATGATTAACATTTAGCAGACAGCATCTATGAGCAGCAGATTCTAGAATGGTTTTGGATAAATTCTTGTACCAGTAATAAGTGCTGTAGAACATGGAAATTCTTTCAACTAAGCCAGTGGTTCTGCTCTCAACCATTATGTTGTTCTTCAAGTTACTGAAGGTAAATTTACATTCATTTTATTCAGGTGTCCATAAAAAAGACACAGCCCTCATTTTTCATTTTTAAGCCTCATGTTGAGAACAACTGATCTAAACAATATGTTTGATTCCCTGGCAGCATGTTTCTTGGTATTGTCCAGCCAGAAGGTTAACCTCCTCCGGGGGATTGTCCTGTATTTATTTTTGCCCCATATTAAGCTCAATCATCTTCCCATTAACTGACTGGCTGAATCATCTGAACTTATTTCTGTGCTCCCATACTGCAGCTGTTACATTTGGCTTTCCAACCAAATTCCATCTCTGCTTTTCTATTTTTCTAAATGCTAAACCAACTATGCTAAGGAAACTACAGTGGGAGGGGTGAATGGAGGTCGATGCACCAATGTGAAATCTTTTATTATTCAGATTATTAAGACAACAAAGCGAGTAAGATATAAGGAAAACATTGGAGCATGCAAATGTAAAATTATGGAGCTAATTTAAACTTGTCATGTAATCAGTTTTATCATGGCGATTAATTGAGTTATTTTTTATGTGACAGACATACATATTTCAGCATAATAGTTCAACGGAAGAGCACCTTTTTCCACATTTGCTAAATTCTATACATGGTTCGTTGGGAAGTACAACAGGATTTTCTTTAACCAATGGGTTTGTTTTTGCAAATCTTTCATACAGTGCTGATAGGCAGAATGCACAACTAACTGTCCGCTTAACAGATTCTTTCACCTGCATCTCAATGGGTTTAGTAGCTCTACTGCATTTAAAAGGTTTGGGGTTAAATTCCAGCTTCACTTTGTCATATGTTTATATGCCCTTGGGTAAGGTACTAGTGATCTGTATAAAGGTTAATGAATGTGTGCATTTCAGTATGTTCCAGTGGGGAAATGTGGCTTTATTGTAAATTGCTTTGAGAAGTCAGTGTGAATAGAAAAGTGCTATAAAAATGTAGTCTATTTACCTGAGCTGTGAATCTTTGCAGTTCCTCTAAAGTTCCTCTAAAGTAAAAAAAAAAGAAGGAAAAAAAAAACCCCAAACAACTGGACTTTGTTTCAAATTTTAAATACATTTTGCTTCCCATCCAGGAAGCTTTTTCAATTCAAAATGTCAGAAATAGCGTCAATTTCGAGGCTTTATAGAGTGGACCAAAAACTAAGCCTTGTTAGTTAGCATAATGTCTTTAAATTTGGAAACCAAGTCCTGTGGATTTTGTTTTTACTTCTTTGGAATGACTATGACCTGGATGACTGAGAACTTCCTTATGGAACTTATCCGTATAAATCCTCTTCTTTCCAAAGTCAGTTTTGGTTGACCACTATTCCTTGGCTCTGTTACAATTTTCAACACTTTGGTTATTAGTTCTAATCCATCCTTTTTTAAACATCTTCAAAACCTCCTTCCCAAGCGCTCTGCTGTCCTGATCAGTCCTCAGAATAAAGTGTGTGGATGGATGTCCTCAAAACCAGGCAACAAGGAAGATTCAGGAAGACGGAGTTGGAGGAAGTTTGACAAAGTTTGGCAGTGTTTGATGAGGACCCAACAAGGGGGAACTGAAGAGAGAGGGCTTTTAAAGGAGACAGAGACAAAGAGGGGGCTAATGAGGAAACTGGGAGCAGGTGTGCACAGAACAAGAGAGAAAGAGCTAGGGAAGAAGGAGAACACAGGAGGGCAGCAGAGAGCAACAAATAGAAACCTGGAAGACTGGAAATAACAACACAATGTTAAATTACTAGGACTATAAAACATGGAGAAAAGAAAATTAAACACTCAAAAGAAAACATAACAGAACCCAGACTAGGACAGTAACTGGAAGAAAGAACACAGCGAAATAAAAATAAAACCACTAAGACTAGAAACCAAGGAGTAAATCAAGACTGAATACTATAACAGAAACCTGACAACCTCTGTCCTCGAGGCCCGCTTTCCTGCAGGTTTTAGAGGTTTCCTTGCTCCAGCACAGCTGATTTTAATTGAAAGCTGATTAACAGGCTTTTGGTCTACTGCAATCATTATAATCAGCTGTGCTAAAGCAGGGAAACCTCTAAAACTTGCAGGACAGCGAGCCTCGAGGACCGAGGTTGGGGATGCCTGCTCTAATAAACCTGACACCATCACAGAGCATCACAGGTTCTTTCTGAGTTCACCTTATTCACAAATGGACTCTTTTTCCTATATAGGTGACCTTGGACAGCAGCTCATTGCATTGGAATCTTTTAGATTTCCTTTTTTACTTAAGAAATACTTTAAATATGGACATCACCTTGTGCTGGTGTCACAGAAAAAAAAAAAAATAATTAAGTTTGGGTTTGTAAAACCATGACACAAGGTCAAGTTCAAGTGTTGGAAATGCATTTTTCAGGCTTTTTAATGAGAATAATTTTTGTGTTTAGGTAACAGCTGGTTTCGAAGGGGTCATTCCACATGATCAATGTGAGGGTCATATCAGCACATCAGATCAGACAAGTAGCTGCTCTCATAATAGCTTCTGGTAAGAGTTCTTATTAGCACATTTCCACCAGTGTTTTCTTATTTTTAACTGAGTATAATAACTGAAACCAATGAAATGTACTGTTAATGCAATTTGGGTCTAACCGAACACAATCAAGCTACTTCTCTGATCCCTACAGTCCACGAGTTTATAAGACCATTACACTGGAGAGAGGGTTGTCGGGCCTGGGCTTCAGCATTGTGGGGGGATTTGGCAGCCCTCATGGAGACCTGCCGATCTACGTCAAAAGTATTTTCTGCAAGGTGAGCAAACACATCTGGTGATAGAGTACATTTAAACTTTATGTCATTACCCTGTCCATTCAGGCTACTTTTGCCAATGTGTAGTACCTTGCGTCATGGTGTATCACCATTTGCCTCGATGGATCACTCTGTATTCTTCCTTTATCTCACAAGCAAAATGTATTTATAGCAAAAATGTAGGTAGGATTTAAGTTAATTAATTTCTGATTCTGTAAGTCTCATTATTCTTCTTCAAAGTCATGCTTATATTAAAAAATGTAAAAGCTTATAAACCTTTGCGTAACCTTTACCAAGATCCTCAAAGACAACTGCCATTACTGTGGTACTGTAGCATCCCTATTTGTAAGTGATTATTTGTCAAAGTTCAGAACAGAGAACCCAGAATGATATCTCAAAAAGCGTTTATTAAATACAACAGATTTGCTGTGAACACCTAGGGCATCTAAGGCAGGAACCTCTGCGGGAAGAAAACACAGGTTAGTGACCACGTCAATCTAGCGGAGGCAGATTATGAACATGAGTCACTATCCTGTTCTTAAAGTTTAGTCTATGCCCAGAGGACAAGGTCGATACCAGCTGGTCGGCTGCCAACAAGACGCGGTGGGCACCACGGAGAGTGTCCCAAACGTTAACCTTTTAAAGCCCACCTAATTTGAAGTGATCCTGAAGTGATATTTTGCATACCCAAATGGAAAAGCAAATAACTTAGGAACTGGCCAAATTACATGTGTGTTACATTATTTGAAACCTAACACCCAAAGACTGAACAATAGGCAGGAGATTCAAGCAGACAAAGGAAAGCAGGACAATACAGAGGGCGAAGTCATAGCCGGTGCCAAAGAGGTTTAAAGGAGTCCGGGCCAGAAGATCAGAGATCCAAAGAGGAAAAGAAAGGAAATCCAGGATGGTGTCGGGAATCAGTTCCAGGTTCGGTTAACAGGCAGAATCCAGCAGGAGTCCGAAGACAGGTCAGGCTAACAGATCAGAATGGGAACAGGTAGGCTCAGTGGTCCAAAGGCAGAACAGGTCAGGATCAGGCAACCAGTAAACAATAATATTTGTTGGTTTTACTATAATAATATGGTTTTCAATTCACTTAATTTTCTCTGGTTACTTTTAGATTCATTTGTGTGATTATTCTAAGTATCTTTGTTGAGTTTTAATTATGGCTCAATTACCTAATTAGTATTATTGTTTCCTGCTGGTTCACCCAATTATTTATTTGTTTTCTGTGCCAGGTTCTGTATGTAGGTTCCCGTTTAATTCATTCACATGGGATGAATTCTGTTTTCCACGCCAAGTTAAGATCTTTCTCTCTATTCACCGAACAGCCTCAGATTGTCTTGCTGATGTCTAACATAACAAAAGATTACTTAAATAAATTTAAAAAAAAATTACTACTTTTTTGTTGGTGTCCCCAGTGATTTATATAAAATGAATCTAGCAGAAGAATTTCTGTAATTCACCATTTACCTTTTTGAGGGTAAACCCAGTGCATATGTACTTCTAATATTAAATCCACGATATTCTACCTTACTGTGTATCCTTAATGATTATTAAAAAAAATGTGACACAGAGAATGATAGGTTGGGTTAATATTATAAGTTATATGCCTCAACTTTTACAGATGAGTTGGATTTAAAAAAAAGTTTTAAAAAAGTATTAAGTAATGCTTTGGGCCTTCTTTACATTAAAAGTCCCGGGAACTTGGTTTGGTTGGATGAAATATTAAACCTCTTTTGTAAGAAGAACATTTCGATAAAATACTGGTAGAGTCTAAAAGAAAAATGAGCATGAGTGGTCATTAGGTCTGTTAGAAGGATACACATCTAAAAACATTCAGCCAAATCAAAACAGAAAAGTCAGACATGTGGTATGTGGGTGAAATAAAGACAGAAGAGCAATAGAGAGGACCATGGACTGTGGTTGCACAGTTTGTTCACAAAGACATGGTCAAAGATCCTTACTTTGCTCCGACTTTGTGAGATGTTAGAGCAGAACATGGAAATACTGTCTTTATACCTGCTCTTCAATTAAAGCAATTTAGGAACCATTCAGTGACTTTTGGTCTAACATTAATGGGGCGGGGCTCTTCTCTCTCTGCAGGGGGCAGCCATTGAGGACGGCAGGTTGAAACGTGGCGATCAGATTATTGCTGTGAATGGACACTGTCTGGAGGGTGTGACTCATGCTGAGGCTGTGGAAATTCTGAAAAAGACAAAAGGGACTGTCGTCCTTACTGTTCTTTCCTGAGCTAACTGTCACTCTTCCAGTTTTCGAATAGTATAACTGTATGAATAACGCTGTCTTTTGTAGAACTGCTTGAATCAAAGCTGAGGACCTAAATATGGGAATTTCTAGAAGTCCAAATGCATCTTCAACGTCTTAGAGAATTCTTTCAAGTGTTTAAGCATGTAGACCCCATATATTGGTCATATAACATGTTTTGATCACCCAAAATGACATACAATGATTAGAAATGGGAAAGGTTGTCAAAGGTTGTCTTAAATCCTTAATCTTAAATACCTAACAAGATCTATATTGTAGATCTAGCTGAAGAAAATCACCCCAACTGTATGATCCTGCCACCAGCATTCAAAGGTTCTTGAAAACTATTTATCTATTTTTTCTTCTGGTGTAAAATTGTGTTTATCTGTAAAATGCATCAAAGTTTTTGACTTAATGTGAGAAAATAATAATGAAAAAAAAGTTGTAGAACTGTTGATACTTGTGCATGGTAACACATGCAGTACCTAGTCTGGAAAAGGTACCTCTAACAAAACTGCCTCAAATAATGTATTTGTACAGTCATTTCTCATTATACAACTGTAACATTAATTTTACTTGATAGAAAAAAATCTAAACTTGTTTTTAGTGGCAATATTATATTTATGTACAGTCCTACCTATACAAAGCCTAAGTGTTTTAATGATATGAGGTCGGAGATATAAAAATAACGGAAAACAAAAAGGCCTGTCAGAAAAGAAAAAGCAACCACAAAAAAACAAAACACATGCAGTATTCTTACAGTTAATTGACTCCTGTTCAGTCAAAGGTCACATTCCAACATGCACAACATGCCAAGTGCTTCTGCCAAGGTTTTTTTTAAGGCAATCGTGTTTTAGGAGACTGTTTTTGTGAAGGCGTGACGTACATTTTCTTTGCATTCCTGTATTTTATTGTTTTAAAAGCATAATGGTTACTTATTTAGTCATTGTCTTTCATAACCTAGTGATACCTCTATGAACATAGTACGTATGGTGGTTAGAGAATACAATAACAAGTCTTTGCATACTTTTTTTGCACACTAGGACTTAAAGGGAGTAGTTTATAGTATAAAGTGCTGTTTTTATTTAGAATTTCTTTTTTTTTTTATTCATTCTGTATTCTTAATGGAAAATGTATTCTTTATGTATTTTAGGTTTGTTGTTTAAAGAAGCCACAGCACTTAAACCTGTGTGCATTATGTAGCATTCTATAACAGAATTGTCTGTAATAAAAGTGAATTTGTGAGGATTTGTTTTAAGATTATTGATTAAGATTATTTTGTGTGTTTTCATTGAATCTGGGATACAGCAAAAACTATGATTTGAACCAGCCAAGGACCCATCAAGGAAAGTAGGGAAATTTTGAATAGCTACTACTGTTGTTTGATAAAGTTTTATGCACTTCATCCTGACAGATCTAGTGAAACCAAGTCATTTGTGTGACCCACTTTGTAACTAACTTTAAAATATGATTACATCCATGGTCCATTTTGAAAACACTTAGGTGTCCAAACATGAACCTCTTGGATATTGGTTGTCATTTCTGCATATGTTTTGATCAATGTTTTTTCTTTATTAGACACATTTATAACATATATAAAGTATTTGTTGATGTGAACATAACTCCATATGACACATACAGGTGCTGGTCATAAAATTAGAATATCATGAAAAAGTAGATTGATTTCAGTAATTCCATTTAAAAAGTGAAACTTGTATATTATATTCATACATTACATACAAACTCATATATTTCAGATGTTTATTTGGTTTAATTTTGATGATTACAAATGACAACAAATGAAAATCTCAAATTCATCATATCAGAAAATTAGAATATTGTGAAAAGGTTCAAAATTGATGGCCCCTGGTGCCACACTCTAATCAGCTAATTAACTCAAACCACCTGCAAAAGCCTTTAAATGGTCTTTCAGTCTAGTTCTATAGGCTACACAATCATGGGGAAGACTGCTGACTTGACAGTTGTCCAAAAGACGACCATCGACACCTTGCACAAGGAGGGCAAGACACAAAAGGTAATCGCTAAAGAGGCTGGCTGTTCACAGAGCTCAGTGTCCAAGCACATTAATAGAGAGGCGAAGGGAAGGAAAAGATGTGGTCGAAAAAAGTGTACAAGCAAGAGAGATAACCGCACCCTGGAGAGGATTGTGAAACAAAACCCATTCAAAAATGTGGGGGAGATTCACAAAGAGTGGACTGCAGCTGGAGTGAGTGCTTCAAGAACCACCACACACAGACGTATGAAAGACATGGGTTTCTGCTGTCGCATTCCTTGTGTCAAGCCACTCTTGAACCACAGACAGCGTCAGAAGCGTCTTGCCTGGGCTAAAGAGAAACAGGACTGGACTGCTGGTGAGTGGTCCAAAGTCATGTTCTCTGATGAAAGTAAATTTTGCATTTCCTTTGGAAATCAAGGTCCCAGAGTCTGGAGGAAAAGAAGAGAGGCACTTCATCCACGTTGCTTGAAGTCCAGTGTAAAGTTTCCACAGTCAGTGATGGTTTGGGGTGCCATGTCATCTGCTGGTGTTGGTCCATTGTGTTTTCTGAGGTCCAGGGTCAACGCAGCCACATACCAGGAAGTTTTAGAGCACTTCATGCTTCCTGCAGCTGACCAACTTTTTGGAGATGCAGATTTCATTTTCCAACAGGACTTGGCACCTGCACACAGTGCCAAAGCTACCAGTACCTGGTTGAAGGACCATGGTATCCCTGTTCTTAATTGGCCAGCAAACTCTCCTGACCTTAACCCCATAGAAAATCTATGGGGTATTGTGAAGAAGAAGATGCAATACACCAGACCCAACAATTCAGAAGAGCTAAAAGCCACTATTAGAGCAACCTGGGCTATCATAACACCTGAGCAGTGCCACAGACTGATCGACTCCATGCCACGCCGCATTGCTGCAGTAATACAGGCCAAAGGAGGCCCAACTAAATACTGAGTGCTGTACATGCTCATACTTTTCATGTTCATACTTTTCAGTTGGCCAACATTTCTATAAATCCTTTGTTTTTATTGGTCTTCAGTAATATTCTAATTTTCTGATATGATGAATTTGAGATTTTCATTTGTTGTCATTTGTAATCATCAAAATTAAACCAAATAAACATCTGAAATATATGAGTTTGTATGTAATGTATGAATATAATATACAAGTTTCACTTTTTAAATGGAATTACTGAAATCAATCTACTTTTTCATGATATTCTAATTTTATGACCAGCACCTGTAATACACACCATCATATTTTCTTTTGGGTTACATTGTCTCCTTGTAGTAATTTCCTGGCTGTGGTGCCAATTCGATCATCATCATTATTATACATGTCTGTCGTGTAATGACGACTGTGATTCTAGGGCTGTAGGAGATCTTGGAAAAGCATTTCCAGCATGCTATAATTTTGAACATACAAAACCATACCTCTCCCTTCAGACCACCCCTCGAAATGGTAAATGGCATGTACTTATATAGCGCCTTTATTCAAGTTAGGAGACTTGACCAAAGCGCTTTACACTACATTCATTCACCCATTCACGCACACACTCACACACTGATGGTGGCAAGCTACATTGTAGCCACAGCTGCCCTGGGGCTCACTGACAGAAGCGAGGCTGCCGTACACTGGCGCCACCGGGCCCTCTGACCACCATCAGTAGACAATGCAGGTGAAGTGTCTTGCCCAAGGACACAACAACACTGAAAGTCAGAGTCGGGGCTTGAACCGTCAACCCTTCGATTTCAGGGCAAACTCCTACATCCAACGCCACTGTCGGCCCGAAACCACGCCTTAAAAACACATGAATGCACATGCTGTCTGCAGCGGGTCTAGAGCAGCAGGAGCAGTGCTGTTGATGCGGAGCGCTATGATCACTCCTCTGAAAGAGTTTATTAACGCCTAAATTAACAAGCAGACAACCATGATTGATGTGTCAGGAACCAATCGTGTCCAACGGACCGTCTTTTGTGATTGGTTGGGGTTATTCATAGATTTCTCACTGTAGCAGGGACCATTTATTTTAGTTTCACTTCCAGGCCTTCTATTTCGGTGCTTGCTAAGTGGGGAGATTTTTAAGCCACATGGTAAAAAATGCGTCAGAAAAGATATCCTACTGCACCTTTAACCAAAGCAGTCCATAGCTTTTTTCCTACCCTGGATATAGCTTTAACTGTCAATGCAGCAAAAGGTAAAGGGATAGGAGCTAGAATCAGGAGCTACTAAAGGGGCTGCAGTTTGAGGAATTTGGATTGAAGCTTGCAGTTCCTTAGGGTTTTGGTTCATTTCTCTCAGTTCTGTATTTATCCTTGTTCCCCCATGGATCTCTTGCTTAGTACTCTCCCTCATCTGCTTGGCATCCTCCTGATTAAACTCACCTGATTTTTATGTCACTAATAACCCTTCCTTGGTATTTAAGCTCATATTGTTCATTGATAGTCTCTTCTCTGCTACCACCCTGTATCAAATCGTCCTATCCTTTTAGTTCTCTCTAACTTTGTTCAGTTCTATTATAACATTTTGTCTCATAGCATCATGTTCTGGTACTCCTACCTAAAATAATACAATAACCCATGACACTTTCTGGTATTTGTTATAAGATGCCACTATAGTATTTCTTTAAAATGGTGGCAATTATGATGGCATCTTTTTTTTCCAGTAACGAATTTCAGAATTGAGAGGGTGATTTAACTTACTCTAAAGCCTTCAAAGCCACATCATCACTTGGACTTTCCTCAGATGTTTAGAGCCAATAAAATCTTTTTTTTTGCTGCTGCTGCTAAATTTGAAGAAAGTTATGCAAAATTCTCTTAGAAGTTTGCTATTTCGTAAACAGAAATAATTAGAGCGATCCTAACTGACATAAAACAGGAAAAATTTGGTTATTTAAATGACAGTATGTGAAGAAATAAAAAGTCTTTTTAAACTGTGTATGCAAATATCTTGTTTTAGTTGAAAAGGTAAACAAGTGTGAAATATAACATTTTATATTGTCTTGATTTTATTTTTGAGGAAAACATGAATGTGACATTGCAAAGAATGGCTTCTAGAAACCAACAGCAGATAAAACTGGTGACAACTTAATAAACAATACAATTGCACACAATTGTCTCATTTAGGAATGTGGAAGCCTCTCAGGAGAGCCTGTCTGCAGCCTTCACATTAATCAAAGCCATCTGTTCACATTGCAAGCTTTGCTGAAACCCAGCCATCACAGTCTGCTTTATCCTGGTCCAGATGAACAATCGCTCGCCTGATTGGATAAGGGGACTTCTTAAGATGGAGGAATGGCACAAGACTTGTGTGGTTCAGATTTGTCCTTTCAGAAACTTTTTTTCTTCACTTTATTGCACTCCTTTGTTACCCACCTTTTCCACTGAGACTGGAAAGCTCACCAGTGAGTTTTGTGCTGCATTTTAAATTAAGATAACTCTCATGAGAGTAAACTTGAAAGGTACTAATGATCCTCCATTCTCTGGAGGGTAGCAACAGCCAAGAGACTGTTCCGTACGTGACTGTCACATCTATTCATATTCATACATCCACAGCAACGTGTCTTTTTTGCTGCCAGTGTCACCTGGTGCTGTCCAAATGTTGGTGGATCTAGAAGAAAAAATAAAAACTCTGATCCTGAAATTCAGTTTGTTGAGGATCTTTTTCAGCCTGTTATCCTACTCTGCAAAAATGCCAATCCAAGATAATTCAACTCACTGCTGACTCGTTAAAAAAACTCTATCTCCTCTTATTAATAAGATAAAAATACCCCAATGCAGAATGGTTGGACCATTCTGAGAACTTAGCTTTAATTGTGGCCGTGTGTTTAGGCGGCACCACATTTGTGTCATCCCTAAACTCAGAATCTCGGTTGTCACGAGCAAATGAGCTGAACTGATTGGAACCTCAGTACACAGACACTTGTATGCCCATGTCACTCATTTTAACTCGGTGTCATAGCCTGAAGCAAGAAGTAATTACGCTCACTCATGCAGTTAAAGAAGAGAAGCAAAGTACATCCAGCAGGTTTGGAGTGATAAAAATTCAGCTGTTTTACTAAACACGATAGGGTAGGTAAAAAAAATAAGGATTTTGGAGATGTAAGTCAGTGCTGTGGCTTCATACATTTAAAGTCTATAAAAAATGAAAACTCTGTAATTATTTCTTTTCATAAGGATGCACATTATTATAAGCATCTTATTGGTGTCAGCCAATACTAGCTTCAAAAATTCAAATA